TGGGTAAGGAGACCAGATAACAGTAGAATAGTTTGTCAATGATAAGATTAAGAATAATGTTCAATACTTACGATAAATGTACCAGGATGGTTAAATTGTCACAGTTTGTCCCGATTGTGTGCCTTGTTGACATATCCATGTGTTTCATGTGCTATCCAGCCTTCACCTTCTGCTCTCCAACCCTCGCTTTCAAACCGGAAGTAGCGAAGTGTGAAAAAGGTCAATAGTAGTGTTCTTTGTAGGCAGGATGAGGTTGTGATCATTCAGATGATTTCGTATATCACTTGCTACTGTCTTTAGTAGGAAGTTGGTAAAGCTGCTGTAGTTCCTCTCGCATATTTATGCTTGTCCCTGGTCGCTTTGTATAGCTTACGGTGAACATCTAACTGTTATTTGCACCACAGTTTCTCAGCTTTCCTTTTAGATTGTTTAATTCTCTTCAGGATGGATGGTGAGACTTCATCTCTCAACTGGAGAATGCTTGTTGAGAACATCAGAAAGGATTGTATTCAACCTGGTCATTCGTGCTTTGTGTCTGTGAAATACTGTCGTGCAGCTGCTGTTCTGCCACATCTTCTTGGAACACTGCTTGGTTGATCTGTTCAGTTATTCTCTATATGATGCGCTTCATGGCTGGGACTGTCCTCTCAAGGCTTAAATCAGAAAACTCAGAAAAAAAAAGAATTATGCTGTGAAACACGACTGCGACTTCAAGATTTTGAGAAAACAAGGAAGAATACTTATTTAGCTATGCAAAGAAAGTAGCAGATATTTTGTTTTGAGGCAAAGAAAGTAAGTGATTTATGTGGCAAGAACATTTCCAAAGAAATCAAGCTCCGAAACACAATATTATGACATTATGACAGGGGCGGTATGCCAGATTTACCATTTTCATTCAGCCTCGGTTGTGAACAGACGCATATTGTTTTCTTGGAACGAAACGCTCAAAGGCCCTTTATTAAATACATTTAATCATAAGGTGAGCAACATCATCGATTATGCGACAATTACAACATGCTGAACGTTTACATGCCATCGGCATGTTGGAGGTGGGCATATGTCAGAATATTGTTGCCCCACATCAGCAGAATGTGGACCGGATATTGGAGACGGTGCGAAATCGTCTGTACAGATAGCATTTGAGTGTACGACGTCACGTGTCATCCCACAACTTACTGCAGGGCATTTGAATCAGAGGCGTCAACGGCGATGGGAACGTCAGCACTGGGATAATAGACGTTGCCGATGTTGCTGACGAATTAAGGTTCACTCTCCACTGCCATGATCAAAACAGAGAGCATGTCCTGCCCCACTGGTAGTACCCGTCACTTACACAACTTGCAGGAAGAGTAAGCGTTGCCTGATGCCGCACTGCAGTACTTCTGCCTTGCAACAGCGGCCTGCAGTCAAACCAGACAATCACGTGATATTCCCAAGAAGGGAACATTGTGATATGTAACACACCAGGCCAACACCACCACTTATCCTGAGTACTATTGTCCGACTGTCCATGACCTTGACAACAGCGGCATTCGAGTGTTCAGTGGTCTTGACAACACTTGCAAGCAACATAAGAGGGTGATTAGCAACCTTGACGACACTTGCAGAAGCATAAGAGAGAGATTGGTGACATTGACAACACATTGACCAAGAAGGGAACATTGTGATATGTAACACACCAGGCCAACACTACCACTTATCCTGAGTACTATTGTCCGACTGTCCATGACCTTGACAACAGCGGCATTCGAGTGTTCAGTGGTCTTGACAACACTTGCAGCAACATACGAGGGTGATTAGCAACCTTGACGACACTTGCAGAAGCATAAGAGAGAGATTGGTGACATTGACAACACATTGACCAAGAAGGGAACATTGTGATATGTAACACACCAGGCCAACACTACCACTTATCCTGAGTACTATTGTCCGACTGTCCATGTATGTCTCATTATCACATCAAGCGCCTACCGAAAACGAACGCACATCATGCAAACCAAGTTGTAGAAATGCTTCCTGTGCATCTGTCGTCAGTCATGCATGCAGGTCAGTGCATGAACGTCCATTTGATTCTGGTTCATATCTCAAATAATTGGTAAAGTATTTTCCCGTAATGTTACAGGTAATACCTACGGATACCAGAAATTGGATATTCTGGTATTTACCTGGTTTGTCATGATTGTGACATTAAACAGTTGCAATTGGTACTATATGAGTGAGTGAATGTTCAAAGTCGCGGTCAGCAATAGTCCAGATATGATACGTCGACGTGAAAATAAACGGACTAGTCCAAATTAACCCAAGCTTGTGAAATATTTTCAAAGACTGTTTTCAGTAATCTGTTCTATGTTGCTTGAAAAAACTTACTATTGCGATTTTCACATTTATTTTGATTCCTGCCAAAACTTTGTCGTGACAAAAACTGAAGTAACTGTTAGCTTTGCTGTGAGACCACAGGTAAGTTCTCGGACGCACAAAAACATCTGAAAACTTGGAACCTTGACAACTCATGCAGCGGTATACGAGGGTGATAAGTAACCTTGACGACACTTGCAGCGGCATAAGAGAGAGACTGGTGACCTTGACAACACTTGCAGCGAGATACGAGGGTAATTAGTAACCTTGACGACACTTGCAGCGAGATACGAGGGTGACCTTGATAAAAGTTGCAGCTTCTGCCAAAGTACTATTTGTTCCACATTTTTCTTTGGACGTGAACTGTCTTTACATTTCTCACAGCCGGTATAAACATGACTGTGCCGATACACAGTGTCCCTTCCCCAAAAGGGAACACTTGACTTTAAGAGCTCTATCTTAATCGAAAAAAACCCAAACACAGTCGTAGTGTGTAGCGCATTACCTGAAATTGAAAAAAAGAAGAACTGTTGGCTATGAATGCGGTTATTAAAGACAATATTGATTCATAAGCCTACGAACATACTGAACTGTGTGGACTAAACACCCAACAACCCATTTATGAACGTAGAAAACTAGCAAAACCCCGGTTGAGAAAACAGGTCTGACTTCAGTTGCTGGTTGGAATTCTTCAATGTTTGCAATGTGAAATATCAAGAATGTCCTTTGCAAGAAAAAACCCAAACAATTCCAATGACTGTACAGTGATTTTAATAGTGTGTGCCCCTATTTGATTACCAACGTGTACCGATTGTAGGTCTCAGAGTTACTGTCAACATTTATCTCAGTGTCAAATAGTAGCTCCCCGTTGGCCGTACATAAAGAGTAATTAACATAACGGCATGACGTCCCACTGCATCGCTGAGCGATATTCATTCATCTAAAATATCACGCGGCTCGGTCAATACTGTAAATATTCAACAACTATTTTAAATTTGAGCTGGAACGATTTTGTGCATGTCAGATCACAAATGACACTCTCTGTGACAAATTCTGCGATCTTGGCGGGGGCGAGTTGCCTCCGCTCAGCCTTTCGTTGATGAGGAGTGGGGCTGGTTTTTGCACGTGCTTCACAATAACAGACCAGTAATGGCCGGACAATCCCAAATCCCTTGTTAGTCTTTGAGCCCACAAACTGGTCGCGGTGAGATTACAACAACTTACAAGCTCAATAAGGTGCGCAGGTTGAGAGGCGAAGATGAGGCCGGATTCCATCCGTCACAATACAGGTGACAGCAAACAGCACGACATAACATGGGCAGAAACTGCAATAACAGCATTGGCCTAGCTTGTCAACATATTAAGCTAATGTTGCCTTACACTGAGGAGATTCTTAAGCCGCCTCGTGGTAATGAAACTGCGTGTGAAACTGCAGGTGTGTTCCCGTTGATGATGGCGTCTCACACCAAGGATTGCCACACTTGGCATTCGAGACGAAAACACTGAATGAAGATTTCGCTATGTTCCAGGCATAGCTCGTGCACAGACATCTGCCACATGACCAACAACACGTACTACCAGGACCTTCCATAGCCGTCACATGCATTCAGATGTTTGTTTATTTGTTTGTTGTTTAACGCCGACCAAATTGCTGTTAAGTATGGATATAACTTAGACGACTGAACGCAATTAAGGGACGACTGTGAGTCCCAACTATCGCCCAATGGTTCGTCCAGCTCGACGTAACATGTCGCGATAAAACTTTTGTATTTTGTTTGTTTGTTAGTTGTTTAACGCCGCACTCAGCAATATTCCAGCTATATGATCCAGCTGTAAATAATCGAGTCTGGACCAGACAATCCAGTGATTGATATCATGAGCATCCAGTCATGCAATTTGGATACGATGACTTCCATCAACGAAGTCAGCGAGCCTGACAACCACCCGATCCCGTTAGTCGCCTCTTACGTCAAGCATGAGTTGCTGAACCCGAACTCGGATCTTCACGGGTGTGAATACAGATGGTGTTCTCCCAGTCTGTGTTGACCAAGGCGTGGTATACATCAACTGGCTTGGTCAATAATTGTACGACGTACTTATGATTGTTTGGAGTGTTTTCTATAACGTCCTTTTACACACACACGCGCGCGCGCGTAAGCATACACACTAATTTCACACTAAGCACATATTTTTATTAAAAAATATTTTATTAACACAGTATACAATGCGTTAAACACTCACCAAGCTCTGAACTTGAGATCAAGATAGAATGAAAAATACTTCATTTTGACCATATTTCATATAATAAATATGGCCCGAGAAGTTCTTAATTATATCAAACTATGGCTCCTTTGTCTTTGGTCGGGCATAACTAACTGAATTGTTACTTAAACACCACTTAGCAATGACGGAACTTATTTTTTTCCTCCTTTAATTTACCTGGATGTTGAACAATTTCACGAAAAACGTTAACTAAGGGAGCAACCATTTTATTTTCAGTGTGTGTGTGTGTGTGTGCGTGCGTGCGTGCGTGCGTGCGTGCGTGCGTGCGTGTGTGGACCTATCCATATTTCAATACACGCCATCTGCAAGAATAGACCACAATATTTGTTTCTCCTACAATGCGAGGCATGTTTCGCGATATCTTGTTAACTCTACACCGGTCACATTATTTCACAGCTTGACAAACTGTGTAAAAAATTGATTGTGGAATAACTATATTTCCACACATTTATACTTTTGTTAAGAAGTGTCTGTGTAAGTTCAAAACAAGAATGTGTCCAGGTCGCACTTAACATTAAACAGGTCGATCAGAGAGTTTGTGAAAGATATGAACACTTGAATCGCTTCAGAACTCGAGACTGAAGAGCAAGTTTAAGATGGTGCAGGGTTATTGGTTTCAGCCTTGTGACCATTCTGGTGGTGATGTCACCCACATTTTTGGCAGAGTCACCTGAGATGTTCTAGCTGAACATCACTGCTGCTTTTGGTTGCAAAACATGCAACAATCACCTCCAAGTACTTGGCATAAAGTCACACATCAACTTATACATCCTGTAACACCCCCAACACCACCCACACAAACACCATGTTCTCTAGGGCTCTGAACTACCCATGTTCGCATTCACTGCTTCACACCATTAATCTTCCTGAACATGTTCCTGGGAATCTTGTCAAACAAGAGAAGTCCGGCTGACCTCTCAATGGAATCTAAATGGCAGAAGTACTTCTTGAGAGGCGTGTCCACTGGAAGCATCTGATTGGGCAGGAGGTAGGACTGGAGTTCAAACTGACCATTTAGATTCTCGATGACAATCACTTTGAAGAAATGAGTGGGAACTGCCACCTGATTGGCTCCTATGACTTCGTACTTGACGTACACCTTCCCGTCAGACTCCAGGCTGAAACATAGGACATCCTTCGTGACTACCACTGATTACCGGCTACACTGCATCAACGCTAATGAGCAGGAACATCTTTAGAATGTCAAGTAACGGAGCTAAACGCACTGCTACCTGTGGTTAATGGAAGACTGCTGCACCAACAGGCATTATTGATGTGTAGTGGCATAGGCGGTTTTACTTAGCAACTGGTCGTTTTACAATCTGGGATGGGAAGGTTATGTTGGGACTGCTGTTTGACCAGACATTCCCCTTATTTCACATTGTCAGCTTAAGCATTGTAGGCCCAAGTAATGAACTTACAAGGATTCGCAAAACATTGGCGAAACTCGCGAGCACGGGTGTGGACTAAAATGGATCCTAATTAGAGCGAATCCTGAATCCAAACCCACCACCACAGTATTCTAAGGGACGCAACTTTGGACAGCAAATCGCGGCACCTACGCCACTAGACCCCGTACCTTCACCATGTGAAGATCCGGGGTAGAATAGGTCTTCAGCAACCCACGATTGCTGTAAAAGACGACTATGCTTGACGTAAGAGGCGACTAATGGGATCGGGTGGTCAGGCGCGCTGACTTGGTTGATGCATGTCATCGTATCTCCATTGCGTAGATCGACGCTCATGATACCAATCAGTGGATTGTCTGGTCCAGACTCGATTATTTACAGACCGCCGTCATATAGCTGGAATATTGCTGGGTGCGGCGTTAAACAACAAGCAAACAAACAAAACCACGGAAATCCAGTGATTGAAATCATGAGCATCGATCCACGCAATTGGGATCGTTGACATGCATAAACCAAGTGACACTTTGAATATGTATGAGCAGAACGGTCCAATTTTCTCAGGGGTGATAGGTATGCTGTAAAGCCGATAAAATGGGAAAGTTTGCCAAGAAATCATGTCACAATAACTTTCAAAACGGGAATATAATACCAGCACATCCGGTGCACAGTGGTGAGTTGTAACAGCCATGTTGATTATTCTGTACGTGCAAGGCGGGGATTTCCACATCAACCCATAAAAATGAATGAACTCCGCCAAGTCAATGGGAACAATCAAAATGGCAACTTTTGCGATGGTTCGACACGTCTGTGTCTTGCAGTAGTGGGACTCACCGGGGAAGATACATCGGCCCCGTGCAGACATACACGTTCTTGTTGTTCCTCGCCACGGCACGGACGTACTTCTCCAGGTCATTCCACAGGCCGCGGTTAAAACCTTCGCCCACCTTCATACATTGAAAGAAAAAGTACAAGTTACTGACCATTCGGTATTGCCCTGGTCTGCTCTGAATATGAGAATTAGTGCGTCATACATACACGTGTTGGTTAAGATAGGCATAAGACTGTTCGTAGATCGGGTCATCAATATGTACACAAATCGTCCAAATGAAGGGTAGCGAAAATTACATACACCATTCATCACTCGTACGTGCGACCGCCTCCGTGGTCTAGTGGTAGAAAGTGTGCCCAGAGAACGGAAGATCGGGGTTCGATCCCCGGCCGCGTCGTACCACAAGACGTTAAAATATGGTACTTGTTGTTGCCCTGCCTGGCCCTCGGCATTAAGGGGCTAAAACAAGGACTGGTCGGCTCGGAGTCAGTATACTGTGTCAGAATTAGGTATTCATGTTAAACTGCGGCATTGTATCTCTGTGGGCTAGCACTATAAAACATCGGCATTAGTCCGGCTGTCACAAGCACACACACGTGCATTCACGTCGCTATTTATCATTAAACCCCATTTCACCTCACCTCAGCCGTTCAAATTACATTCTGCACGTGCTACTGAGGTGAGGTGAAATGGGTTTTTAGGTCGCGTTCAAGATTATTACATTTACATAGCGAGGTGCATGCCGCCTAATTGTACTAGTCCGGAATAATGCCTATTTATTACCCATTGATCAGAGCATTTTCCTTAAGGTCAGCTCAAATAATGGGTAATAAAGAAATGATTACATTCGCGTGTATGACATGCTGATATTACGAAACTCGTGTAGGAAATACAAGAATGCTGGCACCCTTTCTGTAAAATCAGTGTGACCAAAATTGCTCGTATAATAATCTCTATTCATAATGCTAGCCCATTGAGATAATAAAAAATGGATCCCCACTCATACACAGTATACTGACTCCGAACCGACCAGTCCTTGTTTTTAGCGCCTGTATTCCGAGCGTCTGGCAGGGTAACAACAAGAAATATATTAAACTTATTTTGGTATGACGCAGCCGGGGATCCAACTACCGTTTTTCCGCTCTCCGGGCAGGCGTCCCATCCACTACACAACGGAAGTGGTCTTCATCTGAATGTTATGCTGTTTCAAATCTGTATAAACGACAAATGCCCATTTCCAAACAATACAATTGAGTATCGAATGTCAATTTTGTGTCTGATTGCTGACAACAACTGGTCACTGAATCAAGAACTGATATGTTTGAAGAAGAAGAAGAAGAAGAAGAAGACGTATGTTATCTCCTAGCTCGGTGAGTTGTGCTGAGGCAGAGACCCTGTCCCTAGTGAGCCACACCTGCCTACCTGAGGGGATGTATTACTAAGGAAGAAAGTTTGGTCCAAAGCGTTCTGTGACATTCTGTGATTCTGTGCTGCCGCCAGATGTCCTCTATCATAGCGAGTCCTTCTGTAGTCATAATTTGTAGATCGGAAATACTGGTGAATGGACGTATCCTCCCTGAACTCGGAGTTGCCTCGATGCACTGATTCGTCGTAGGCGAGGTTTTGAGGCGTGAGGTGCTCGAACACCCAGTGAGCGTTCCTGTTGCGTCTGTCATACGACATCACATAATTATCGAAGGTACGAACTTGGTCAAATCCAGGAAAACCGAATCTCATGATCTCTTGGGATCTGTTCACGGGGATGACAGATGACGGGCGCCCTCCAGCCTCTTGTACTGGAGTAGTTACATCGTCTAGTTTCACAGCCAAAACCGATGGAAAGGCTAGCAGAGATTTTCCCTCCACGTTTAGAGATTGTTTACATCGTTCTAACTTTGCGCCAACCAAAGCACCAATTCCTAGAGATACTGATGAAATTATTGGAATCATACACTTTCGGAACATGTCTGTAACGTCTATTCACAAACAAACATGAGGGTAATATTTGTAAATAGAAGTTAGCGATTTCTCTTTCCGGGGGAAATCCCACAAGATACTAGTTTCCATAGAGCATACGTTTTTCAACGTTTCGGCTTTATCGGCCTTAAAATGAAATAATGCTACTGTACTTGTCATGTGTTATTCTTACAAATGGTGCAAGCTGTGGTTCTAAGTTTGGGTTTACGACGGCAAGTGAGTCAGTGAACGCTGTAGTAAGAAATGTCATAGTTTTCTCTTGAGACCCTTGAAGATTCGGGTTAGAATAGTACAGTGTTCGAAATACCTGCCTGCCCGACCGTCCGAGACGGGTTGATTTCAACTCGGGCTGCCAGATTTTCAAATCCCCCTGCCCGACGGTCGGGTTATATTTCATATGTGAAAATATTCAAAATATTTCCCGATGATAAGCATTAATTCACATGTAAAGATGAATGATAAAATGTAACCAAAAAGAAACCCCGTTAGCTTATCCTGAGAAACATATGATTATAGTGGGCAGGCAGGTTTTGGTCAGGGCTGGCAAGTATTTCAGCTAGCCAGTCCTGTGGTCTGGCTGAAATTTTTGGGAGTTTCATACCCTGAGAATAGGTTTTCAGCAACCAATACTTGTCACAAGAGGCGACTAACGGGATAGGGTGGCCAGGCTCGCTGACTTTGTTGATACATGTCATCGTATCCCAATCAAGTGGATTGATGCTCATGATGTCAATCACTGGATTGTCTGCTCCAGACTCGATTATTTACAGACCGCCGTTATATAGCTGGAATATTGCTGTGTGCGGTGTTGAACAACGAACAAGCAAACAAAATACAACAGTTCTTTTTGCGACGACATGTTATGTCGAGCTGGACGAACCATTGGTCAATGGCTGGGACACACAGTCACGGTCGTCCCTCAGTTGCGCTCAGTCATCCAAGTTACATCCATACTCGACAGCAGTTTGGTCCTCCAGATTCCACTAGTCTTGCGACAAGCATGATGAAAAACTTTTCGTTAAAATGAAACAATAACGTCGTTGGTATAATTACAGATGTGCGCATCTTTGGCTGTAGACATGGTACCATATGACCCAAGCTCTGGTGCATCTGTTCAGGAAAGAAGGGATGCATGCGTTTAGTGTAAAGAAGGATTGCATTTAGTGAAATGAAGGGATGCGTTTAGTGAAAAGAAGGATTGCATTTAGTGAAAAGGACGGATCCATGCGTTTAGTGTAAAGAAGGATTGCATTTAGTGAAAAGAAGGGATGCGTTTAGTGAAAAGAAGGATTGCATTTAGTGAAAAGGACGGATCCATGCGTTTAGTGAAAGGGAGTGCATTTAGTGAAAAGAAGGGATGCGTTTAGTGAAAAGAAGAAATGCGTTTAGTGAAAAGAAGGAGTGCATTTAGTGAAAAGAAGGGATCCAAGCTTATAGTGAAAAGAAGGGATCCAAGCTTATAGTGAAAAGAAGGGATCCAAGCTTTTAGTGAAAAGGGGTGCATTTAGTGAAAAGAAGGGATCCCTGCGTTTAGTGAAAAGACGGGATGCGTTTAGTTATCACAAGTTATACAAGTGTTACAAAATTGCAAATATTCCGCGAAGCAATTCATTTTAGTATTGTTAAATGCGATATAGTTGAAATGAATTTTCACGATTTATAGATTATAAACTGTTAGTATGCTGCATAGCGAAAAGTTGTGGGAGCTGGTGCGCGCCTGTGTGGGAGGTGGGCGAGTTGCTTTCCTTTAAAAAATCCGTTTGTTAGTACACTTTTTGTTTATTTATTTCACATAGTATCTGATATAAGAAAGTCAATAATCCTCGGTGTTACAGAATTTTCAGAAAAAAATAACTATCAATTCTTTCATCTTTTATTAATCATCACTTTCTAGTGTAGCCGTTTTCAATTTTGTCTTTTGTTGTTGACCGCCGCGCCCAGCTCGACTCCAGCTGTGTGTGACGGCAGTGTGGAAATACACGAGACCAAGCAGAGATTGATTCTTTGAGCAATGTCGTCCGGCAATGACACGAAATCAACCAAGTCGTCAATTCGGATCACCCTTTCCATTACGTGGCTTCATATGCCAAACATTGCTGTATATAGTACAGACTCTGTCATTTATGCAACAATGATACAATATGATAAATTGTGCAAACTTTCTGATGTGCGTGTTCTCAACGAAAGTAAGTATCAATTAGGTGACGCTCAGAGGAATTTTATATAATGTACATGTATTTTGTACATTGGGTCAATTGGTCTTTATACAAATAGTCTGCCTGTCCGTCTGTCAAGCTATTTGTCTGTTTTAACGCATGCGAGTTACGGCCGTCATAGCGCTAATTAAAGATCGGGGTGTGGAACATGTTCAAGATTTTCAATTATTTACAAGCGGTCGTAAATCTTAAAGATAGTCTCCTAACAAATAAGCTGGCTCCACTGCTTGCAATTTAAGGTACACAGCATTGAGTAGACTGACATAAATTTAGTCCCAGAAATGAAACTCTCTTGTTTAAAAATCTGTATCTACTAAATATAAAATGAAATCCAAATGGAGCCGAGAACAATCCTTTATTTCAGGCTAGGGATGATCGAGGCAACGTAGACTTGCAAAATCATTCTAGACATGAGTTCGAGTTATATTTTATGCTCTATGATCTGGGAGACAGACTACGCTTTAGGAGACGCAAGCAGAACTATATGGCACGCTGTGTATCTCTGCTTAAATTAAACTAATTCCGTAATGTCATGACACACCAATGAGAGGTTTCAAATTTTACATTTACCTCAATTAAACCATGAAGAAATTAAAGGTGAAGATAATGAGCGAACAGAGACCATATACCGAGTGAAGTGGCATGAGTTCGATATGAATTCACCTGTAATCACCTCTAAAAAAGTAGCTAATGACAAATGCGTTGTTTCCAATGTCATGTTATGATGTCTAATTACAAGAAACAAATGTACGCCTGGCTTTCTCCAGCATTCCATGGCCTTCGGGTTCAAATTTAATCAAGCGCAGTTATATCTACAGATAATATAAATATTCACTGAAAACACTATACACTGTATTTATGTCTCCTTATATAATCATCTTAACTCTCATTATTATATATTTCATAACTCGCAACGACTGAGGCTTGGCCATAGTTGAAGGTGTTGCATTACCGATAGTATCGTGACGTCAGCACAGGGAAATACCATAATCCCTGTGGGGCGTGCTTATTCTTCACAAGGGGTGTAGACGAAATGTACATGTTGAAAAAAATCGCTTATGTGTCACACATTTTGTCAACGTGAACGATAAAGTGATTATAAGTTGTACATCTATAACATTACTTCAATCTTATCATTAAATATCATATTTGCTTTCTTATAAGGTCCGTGGTCGGTCGCACTCCCCCTGAGCAGTCAAAAATAGAATGATAAAATGCCCGGATTCCCTTGAAAAACATAAACCAACATGGCCGGCAAAGGGTAAGGTTGGGTGGCTTTGTTGTCCTTATACTTCTTCGTTTTGACTTTGTTAAGCAACACTTAAGACATCTGACCGTCGACTGTATCATTCTAATTCACCTACATACATATGACTTAGATACCTCGATTCTTCATTGAAATAGATGGTAATTTAAACAGGATCGCCATCCGAAAGAGCGGATTGTTCGGTATTCGTTCACAATCATCTTCTTTGTGGCGTCCCAGGGTATATTCGAAGGTATGAGACTACTTAAAAGTTGTGTGGAAATCGAACACATGGTAAACGTGATGACGTGAAGTGCATAACCGTGACCTCGCTAAGGTTACACTGGAGCTTCTTTTCCGTACATAAACAATAACCACAGACGTGTTCGAGATTAACAATTTATTAAACCAAACAAGCTCACCCCGCACATCAACTTCTCTATCCAGACATGTTTTAATTGAGCTACAACCGTTTTACATGTACGATCACCCAATCACTTCTGGGACATTCAATTTTATTTAATCTATCGTCCAATCCCCTTTTTCAACGACACCTATTTTCGAACAGCTGTACTTGAAATTGATTTGCGGCTATAATGTGAGATGTGATGTGATCAAAGCCCGTAGTCCCGACACCTAATTTGCAACAAAGTGCTGAAATCGGCCTTGTTAATCCAACACAGTGATCAGCGTACTCTGTGGTCTTCTGCCTGCGAGTACACTGACCGACCAGTGAAATGACTAACTGGAAGTCAACAGTAGCCAATAAGAAAGCAGCTTTCTTAGCTTTGAAGCACTAGTTTTAAATTGGCGACTTCAATTCCAGGCTGTGTTTATAAAAGTATTTTGAATCAGTCATGCAGCCCATAACTGTAGTTCGGAATACCTGGTGTTAAGTTTTTTTAAGTTGTATGATTAGAAAGCAGGGATACCGGTGGTGCAGCTGATTGTAATGTAGGTCAGAGATTCAAAGAACGGAGCTCTGTGACTCTTTGATAAGTGTCCTTACAGTTGTTTTTGTGTACTAGCAACTATGTGCGTGAATTGACATTTGTTAAAGAAATTCTGAAATAAAGATGTTTAGCGACACTGCTGTCCTCTTTGCACACACAATAGCAGGAACACTTTATTAATGCATATTATAGCTGAAATGGATAGAATTATCATTAAACCGCCCGCATGTTATCAGAAATGAGCGGGCCACAGTAACTTGATAATGCCCTCATATTGCTTGACGACGGGCCATTATCATGCCCGTTGTTAGGTGACGTCACGTTCAATAGTGCAGCATCTGGTTTGTTCTATGACGTTTCCATATTTGTAGAAGTTGGTCAGTAACATTAGTGTCGATGTTTCAAAACCGATATTTTTGTTTCTTTTATTTGATAACAAATTCCATCCATTTTAGCTATAATAATGGTAACACTATTTTTCAGGGCATTATCATTTACAGAAGCCCTCGGTCTTTTCAACTGCCCTCCTTTGTTGGGCAGTTAATGGAAGACCCCAGGCTTCTGCAAATGATAATGCCCTGAAAAATAGCGTTACCCTCATAATATTGTGTATGCATAGTAATGTCAATGGCCATGTTATGGATATGTCGATATTTGTGCGCAACCAGATTTTCAACCAGTTTTGGTGTGATTTGTAAAACGAACGGAAATTGTTATATGTTTTCACTGAAATGCATATTTTACGTGGGTAGTAAATATACACCACACTCAATACTTGTTATATGCTATTTTTACGAAAGTAACAAACTTTCTAAGGTGAGATATCATAGTCTAAAATAGAACTGGAACTGGAGTGTTGTATTCTCTATTTATCATGTTATGGGTAAAAATTTAACTTTGAACAAACAACCTTTTCTAGAAACATACTTGGATCCACCCAAAAATAAAAGAAGGAAATAATGAGTAGTTGTTTTCCTATTTACGGATATCTTTGCTTGATCAGAACTTGTAATACATTGTGTGAAGCCCATTTCTGGTATCCCCCATTGTGATATTGCTGGAATATTGCTAAAAGCAGTGTAAAAACATACTCACTCACTGTAATACTTTGGAAAGCACATACTGCGAAAAGATATATTAGTTTGAAAGAATTTATCCATACAAATAAACATGACAAATAAAACTTGCCCTTGAAAAATGCAAAAATTGGATTAAATTTGTCTTGTGTATTGCAACCCGTGTGTCTTGTGTTTTTACACCTGTTTGAAGAGATTGTTTGTTGTTCAGAGCTTCTGCCCAGGTGTACTGTCGCGAGCACCCTGATGCTCCCCTGGTTGAAGACTACCATGCTGGGGACATGATCTGCCAGGAGTGTGGCCTGGTAGTGGGAGACCGGTGAGTACACACACCCTGCTGGGGACATGATCTGCCAGGAGTGTGGCCTGGTAGTGGGAGACCGGTGAGTACACACACCATGCTGGGGACATGATCTGCCAGGAGTGTGGCCTGGTAGTGGGAGACCGGTGAGTACACACACCCTGCTGGGGACATGATCTGCCAGGAGTGTGGCCTGGTAGTGGGAGACCGGTGAGTACACACACCCTGCTGGGGACATGATCTGCCAGGAGTGTGGCCTGGTAGTGGGAGACCGGTGAGTACACACACCATGCTGGGGACATGATCTGCCAGGAGTGTGGCCTGGTAGTGGGAGACCGGTGAGTACACACACCCTGCTGGGGACATGATCTGCCAGGAGTGTGGCCTGGTAGTGGGAGACCGGTGAGTACACACACCCTGTTGGGGACATGATCTGCCAGGAGTGTGGCCTGGTAGTGGGAGACCGGTGAGTACACACACCCTGCTGGGGACATGATCTGCCATTTGTGAGCTAACAGTCCTTTTTATTTTGTATCCTTATATCAACACTACTTCACGGGGGAGGAATAAATTGTAATACAAACCCATGAAGTTTTAACAGTGTTAGCTGAACCGAATCCTCACTATTTTGTTTTGAAGTTTGGCTCATTGTAAGCATGGTAAGTTCAGGCCTCAAAGTTACAACTAAAATGGTCGTCAATGCGACGTAAATTTCAATTTGTCTACTGTCTAAAATTCAGAGGTAGCCAAATGACTACTTGAAAAATATCTTGTGGAGACTAACTTCTATTTCTATTGTTTGAGTCACAAATAACAAAACTCAAGTACAGTTTCCACTAAAAAACAATTCCAAGAGTAGTGCTATTACTTGTACATGTAATAGTTATTTGATAAAAGATATTTCAAATGCTTTTGGCTACCGACAATATTGGCTTGACTTCTTGACTATACCACTGGCTACCTGGAAAAAACTACTTGTCACCATATAGCTACTTAGTAAAAACTTAAACTTTGAGGGCTGAAGTTGGCTCTCAAGGTATTGCTCAATGCTTTGGCTGCCAGGAAAATGACATTAGGAGCAAGATGTGGTCCCTGGAATAAATGGAAATTTGATGCCTACAGAGTAACACTAGGTGAAACTATCATTGCTATGTTAGTGTGACGATGTTCAGTCAAAACACAGCAATACAATGATTAAGTGGCTGTAGGACAACAGTATGTACAACATGTGATGTGACAGCCAATGTGACAGCCCGAAACTCTACATGGTTTCAAACTTCATATAGTTTCAGCAAGATAGATGTTGGTATTGTGTTTGAGAGTGATGGATGTTGGTGTTGTGTTTGAGAGTGATAGATGTTGGTATTGTGTTTGAGAGTGATCAATGTTGGTATTGTGTTTGAGAGTGATCAATGTTGGTGTTGTGTTTGAGAGTGATCAATGTTCGTGTTGTGTTTCAGAGAGATAGATGTTGGTATTGTGTTTGAGAGTGATAGATGTTGGTATTGTGTTTGAGAGTGATAGATGTTGGTATTGTGTTTGAGAGTGATAGATGTTGGTATTGTGTTTGAGAGTGATGGATGTTGGTGTTGTGTTTGAGAGTGATAGATGTTGGTATTGTGTTTGATAGTGATAGATGTTGGTATTGTGTTTGAGAGTGATAGATGTTGGTATCGTGTTTGAGATTGATGGATGTTGGTGTTGTGTTTGAGAGTGATGGATGTTGGTATCGTGTTTGAGAGTGATGGATGTTGGTATTGTGTTTGAGAGTGATGGATGTTGGTATTGTGTTTGAGAGTGATAGATGTTGGTATTGTGTTTGAGAGTGATCAATGTTGGTGTTGTGTTTGAGAGTGATGGATGTTGGTATTGTGTTTGAGAGTGATAGATGTTGGTTTTGTGTTTTGAGAGTGATAGATGTTGGTATTGTGTTTTGAGAGTGATATATGTTGGTGTTGTGTTTCAGAGTGATAGATGTTGGATCTGAGTGGAGAACCTTCAGCAATGACAAGAATACAAAAGATGCGTCTCGAGTTGGTGCAGCAGAGGTAAGTCTTCATCAAGGTTGGATGTTCCTACTTGGTGTTGTCTGGTCAGTAGGGACCTGTTTAGACACTGGACATGTTTAACATGGACCAGCTTAGTTTCTTCAACTTCATTTTGATGTGGCCAAGAACATTTTAGTCATCTGAGAACTTGAGTCCTTAACCTCTCTGATTTGAGACAAAGTCCCATGGCAGCCATATGTGTTCCCAGTATTATTAATATGAAGCATGTTTGCATGAGCCTTTATTATCCTCTGCCCTAATCACAGTTTGGTGGTGGACACAGAAACAGGATTCATTCATCCAACATATTTTGTTGTCAGAGCTTAACTCACAAACTGTTCAATGATTAAATATATTGTCTGTACATAATGCAGTTTTTGAGTTTTTGCTTGCTATAATAGATGACTATGCTTGTCATAAGAGGCGACTTACGGGATAGGGTGGTCAGGCTCGCTGACTTTGTTGATGCATGTCATCGATCCCAATTGAGTGGATTGATGCTCATGATGTCAATCACTGGATTGTCTGGTCCAGACTCAACTATTTACAGATCACTGTCATAAAGCTGGAATATTGCTAACAAACAAACAAACAAACAGTGTGGTGTCAAACCAATTCACTTGCTGTTGTTGTATGTTTGCATTTTCTTGACCCTCTAAACATAATGTTGCATATATTCCAGTAAACTTCAGGTGGGCTACAGAGCCTTTTGGCCGTCTGTTATGTGTATAACATTATATATGTGCCTCAAATTTATGTCGTAATGTGCCAATGCCAGGTGTTCTTAATGTCTACTCAATATTCTATGTACTATTCAAAAGAATTTTAAGAACACGTGGTACTTTCATATACGGGATTGGTCATTTATTATCGGGGGTGATGGGCTGTGTAACGTATTGTGCTAATGTCACCCCACTGTTATGTAACATTTCAAGTTACCCCATGAAAAAACAGAACAGTCTTTTTTTAATGTCTCAACCCCTTGATTCCATGATTACCAGGGCAGGCATCAACTATACTAATGTACTGTTTGTGTGTGATCCAGAACAGCCTTCTTGATGGTGGTGACCTCTCCACGATGATCGCAGCCGTCCCCGGTGGAGGGAAGGACATGGTGGACGAGTTTGGCAAACCCATGTACAGGAACAGGAGAACGGTAAGGGGTCATTGCTACACTGGCTCAGCAGATAAACACAAGTGGCTTTTGAGTGTGCACAGGTGTTAGTTTTTTTTGGAAACAGTGCCCTGCCCGTACCAGCAATGAGGAATTTTCTATGATGAATGTGAGAGGGTTTTTCAGGATGGAGTCTTTGGACATATTTGATGTCAGAGGTAGTGGAGGTACTGCAATAGTGGTGGTTTTAGGGAGTGATGTGGTCTTTGAAGGACTATTTGGTTGTTGCCTTTGGTGGTCGAATTGGCAAGCTCCTGACACCGATAGCCCATTTGCAGTGCTCTCTATACCATTGCCGCCACAGCTCCCCACTGTGCAGGGTACTTCACAACCATGCATGGAGCTGAACTCACAACTGATCTTTATCATGTTTGTGTTTACCAACAAGCGATGACTGTTGTGGTGCTGTAAATCTGTTCCTCAGCAAAGGTGTTTGTTCGTTTGTCAATTTGAAATAAGATGGTTCTGGTACGTGATGAAGACAATCTTGTTTGTTTTGGCCCTTTAATCCTTATAGAATCATGTCTGTATTTTCATTAGTACATGAGAGACATTAATTCTTCTCAAATGATCTTTTCATTTTGATGGTCAAGAGTTGACTTGTGAGTGTTATAATGAAGGTGAGTGTTAAAGTGAAGGGTGGACATTTACTCATTGTAGTCACACAAACTGTAGGTGGCCAAATTCTTTGGCAGCTACTTCATTCATTATGTGTGAAATCTAGCTGTACAATGTCCTACATCAATCTTTGCTTGTCATTCAGTCGTTAGTTTCAGTGTGTGTCAGTCAAACATCAAAGTGTGTAGATCATGCAGTTGTGAGAGTCAGCATCAATCAGTCCAACATCAAACTTGCTGGTCATACAGTGGATGGAGGGCATCCTGGACCCAGCACCTCCTGCTGGACATCAACACTGGGTCAGTGCTTCAGTGGATGGAGGGCATTCTGGACCAAGCACCTCCTGCTGGACATCAACACTGGGTCGGTGCTTCAGTGGATGGAGGGCATTCTGGACCAAGCACCTCCTGCTGGACATCAACACTGGGTCGGTGCTTCAGTGGATGGAGGGCATTCTGGACCAAGCACCTCCTGCTGGACATCAACCCTGGGTTTGTGCTCCAGTGAATGGAGGGCAACCTGGACCCAGCACATCCTGCTGGACATCAACCCTGGGTCGGTGCTTCAGTGGATGGAGGGCATTCTGGACCCAGCACCTCCTGCTGGACATCAACCCTGGGTTTGTGCTCCAGTGAATGGAGGGCATCCTTGAACCAGCACCTCCTGCTGGACATCAACACTGGGTCGGTGCTCCAGTGGATGGAGGGCATTCTGGACCAAGCACCTCCTGCTGGACATCAACCCTGGGTTTGTGCTCCAGTGAATGGAGGGCAACCTGGACCCAGCACATCCTGCTGGACATCAACCCTGGGTCGGTGCTTCAGTGGATGGAGGGCATTCTTGACCCAGCACCTCCTGCTGAACATCAACCCTTGGTTTGTGCTCCAGTGAATGGAGGGCAACCTTGACCCAGCACATCCTGCTGGACATCAACACTGGGTTTGGTGCTCCAGTGAATGGAGGGCATTCTGGACACAGCACCGCCTGCTGGACATCAACCCTGGGTTTGTGCTCCAGTGAATGGAGGGCAACCCGGACCCAGCACATCCTGCTGGACATCAACACTGGGTTTGGTGCTCCAGTGAATGGAGGGCAACCTGGACCCAGCACATCCTGCTGGACATCAACCCTGGGTTTGTGCTCCAGTGAATGGAGGGCAACCCGGACCCAGCACATCCTGCTGGACATCAACACTGGGTTTGGTGCTCCAGTGAATGGAGCGCAACCTGGACCCAGCACATCCTGCTGGACATCAACACTGGGTTTGGTGCTCCAGTGAATGGAGGGCAACCTGGACCCAGCACATCCTGCTGGACATCAACCCTGGGTTTGTGCTCCAGTGAATGGAGGGCAACCTGGACCCAGCACATCCTGCTGGACATCAACCCAGGGTTTGGTGCTCCAGTGAACGGAGGGCATCCTGGACCCAGCACCTCCTGCTAGACATCAACCCTGGGTTTGTGCTTCTTTGGATGGAGGGCATTCTGGACCCAGCACCTCCTGCTGAACATCAACCCTGGGTTGTGCTCCAGTGAATGGAGGGCAACCTGGACCCAGCACATCCTGCTGGACATCAACACTGGGTTTGTGCTCCAGTGAATGGAGGGCATTCTGGACCCAGCACCTCCTGCTGGACATCAACCCTGGGTTTGTGCTCCAGTGAATGGAGGGCATCCTTGACCCAGCACCTCCTGCTGGACATCAACACTGGGTTTGGTGCTCCAGTGAATGGAGGGCATCCTTGACCCAGCACCTCCTGCTGGACATCAACACTGGGTCGATGCTTCAGTGGATGGAGGGCATCCTGGACCCAGCACCTCCTGCTGGACATCAACCCTGGGTTTGTGCTCCAGTGAATGGAGGGCAACCCTGACCCAGCACCTCCTGCTGGACATCAACCCTGGGTTTGTGCTCCAGTGAATGGAGGGCAACCTGGACCCAGCACATCCTGCTGGACATCAACCCTGGGTTTGGTGCTCCAGTGAATGGAGGGCAACCTGGACCCAGCACATCCTGCTGGACATCAACCCTGGATTTGTGCTCCAGTGAATGGAGGGCAACCTGGACCCAGCACATCCTGCTGGACATCAACACTGGGTTTGGTGCTCCAGTGAATGGAGGGCATCCTTGACCCAGCACCTCCTGCTGGACATCAACACTGGGTCGATGCTTCAGTGGATGGAGGGCATCCTGGACCCAGCACCTCCTGCTGGACATCAACCCTGGGTTTGTGCTCCAGTGAATAGAGGGCATCCTGGACCCAGCACCTCCTGCTGGACATCAACACTGGGTTTGGTGCTCCAGTGAATGGCATGGATGTTCTTCGTGGTTTCACAGGTTTATCTGACCTGAATGATTACAAGCAACCTTGATCATGTTGATGTAGCTTGAATATTGCTAACTGTGGTGTTACCCCCCCCCCCCCAAAACACACACACACAACCCCACTCACTCACTCACTCACTCACTCACTCACTCACTCACTCACTCACTCACTCACTCACTCACTCACTCACTCACTCACTCACTCACTCACTCAAAGTGGAACAGCCAGCACTGACATACGATAGGCTTTTGTACATGAAATGGTATTATGTTATGTTTGTATAATTTGAGTGTATTGTGTGTGTTGAACAGATGAACAGTTCTGACCGAGCCCTGCTAAATGCATTCCGTGAGATCAACCAGATGGCAGACAGACTCAACCTGCCCAAGATGATAGCTGTAGGTTGCTTACCTTTTTCAACCCTCTTCAAAGATGATTCCATGTATTTTTGTATATATATATAAATATTGATGAAATTTGGTATTAAATTGATGACCTATTCTTTTAGTCAAGCCAAATGGGACAGTTATTTTTCATATTTGGGATTGAAAACAAAAGTACTTATCAGGAAATGTATTCACAATGAGCTTTTCATATTCCTCCCCAGGATCGAGGCAACACACTATTCAAGCAGGTGCATGAGGGCAAGTCCTTGAAGGGCCGCAGCAATGATGCCATTGCCTCAGCCTGTATGTACATAGCATGTCGACAGGAAGGTGTGCCCAGAACATTTAAGGGTAATTAGCTGCAGAAGGTTTAGCTTTGGTGTCAATGGACACAAAAGGATAATTTGTCCATTGGATTTTATTCCTAAGGGTAGAGTGAGAATGTAATGTTCTAATGTGTGAACTTATCCTATCTCACACAATGCATTTCTTCTTTCTTCTTCGATGCCCTGTAGAAACATGCTTGAACCCTGTTTCCAGCTTCTAAAACGAAAACATTCGCCCTACACCCCTAGCATATCCATGGCTACGACCATATCTTGGTCAATTAGGTGCCTCTTGTTCACGGTAACCTTTCATGCTTGACTGCATATGTCTTTACCCACACATTTTCACTTAAAGAATTTACCAGGATGAAATATGTGTGAAATTGACTGATTTATAGTGTTTGTTTTTCAGAGATCTGTGCTGTATCTAAAATATCCAAGAAGGAAATCGGACGGGTGTTCAAGCTGATCCTGAAGACTCTGGAGACGAACGTGGAGCTCATCACTACCGGGGACTTCATGGTGAGTCAGGGGAGATATCTAGTCTGGCTGGAGGGGAGAGAAAACAGTCACCAGTATTAGGGCCGGAAACACAAAAGTGAGATCAAGATGATATGTTTCACAATATGTTCATGATAGGGGTGACTATTGGTCTGGAAATCACTATTGATATTGAAAGAAACTATTGCGATAACTATTGATATTGCTAGCAACTATTGCGATAAATATCAATAGTTTTCAGTGTACCATTTTAGATGGATTTTAGAGTTGAATTAAACCTTGGAACTGAAGTTTCCATTGAATGTGATAACCATAACAACAAATAAAAAGTAAAGTTTGAGATATGACTGATTTGTTTTTTCTTTACCCTAATAATTTAAACCATGTGTAAATTACTACCACTCATGATCAAAAGAAAAACAAATTTGAACAGCATTGCATGTATTTTATTGATATGGTAAATACAATCGAACCTATCGATATTCCTAACTCAAATCGATAGGTTCGATTGTAAACTGTTTTAACAATCGATTTATTGACTTTATTAAAGTGCTTACCAATAGCGATATATCGATATTTCAATTTATCGTGACACCCCTAGTTCATGATGCAATGAGAAGATGCAATAGAGGAAGGAGCTGATTGATACACCCTGTGTACCGCCAAACACAGGGTGTGAAAGCTGATGGATGGTGCGTGACTTCCTGTCATTGCTTGGTACACTGCCATGTACTACTGCCAATTTGTAAGGGATTAGTTTTGTGTGAAAATATTATGTGCCATTTGAATTCCATATAGACGTGGTTACAAACACTTGTGCTGATTTGTGATGTGTGTGTTATGTATATTTCAGTCGCGGTTCTGCTCCAACCTACAGCTGCCCTCCTCCGTACAGAAGGGGGCGACTTACATCGCACGCAAGGCTGTGGACATGGACCTGGTGCCTGGGTCAGTCACAAGAGATGCAGTGGAGGGGGTGGGGGTGGGGGTGTTTGGGGGGGGAAGAGTAGCATGACCATAACACATTACCTTGATCAGAAATCCCATGACAGATTATTGCCCTGGTCAGTGAGAAATCCCATGACAGATTATTGCCCTGATCAGTGAGAAATCCCATGACAGATTATTACCCTGATCAGTGAGAAATCCCATGACAGATTATTACCCTGATCAGTGAGAAATCCCATGATAGATTATTACCCTGATCAGTGAGAAATCCCATGACAGATTATTACCCTGATCAGTGAGAAATCCCCTGATAAATTATTACCCTGATCAGTGAGAAATCCCCTGATAGATTATTACCCTGATCAGTGAGAAATCCCATGACAGATTATTACCCTGATCAGTGAGAAATCCCATGACAGATTATTACCCTGATCAGTGAGAAATCCCATGATAGATTATTGCCCTGGTCAGTGAGAAATCCCCTGATAGATTATTGCCCTGATCAGTGAGAAATCCCATGACAGATTATTACCCTGATCAGTGAGAAATCCCCTGATAGATTATTACCCTGATCAGTGAGAAATCCCCTGATAGATTATTACCCTGATCAGTGAGAAATCCCCTGATAGATTATTGCCCTGATCAGTGAGAAATCCTATGACAGATTATTGCTCTGATCAGTGAGAAATCCCATGACAGATTATTACCCTGATCAGTGAGAAATCCCATGATAGATTATTACCCTGATCAGTGAGAAATCCCATGACAGAATATTACCCTGATCAGTGAGAAATCCCCTGATAGATTATTACCCTGATCAGTGAGAAATCACATGACATTATTATTACCTTGATCAGTGAGAAAAGCCAAGATGTAAGATTATTGTTGACTATTGCACTGGGTTGAGCATGCTGAGCAGACTGCTGTGTTGTTGTTTCAGCCGGAGCCCCATCTCGGTGGCGGCAGCAGCCATCTACATGGCCTCACAGGCCTCCAGCGACAAGAAATCTCAGAAGGGTAAGCTGATGTTCTATGATTCTCATTATGAGGTTCTGACAATGACGTGCTAAGAATACAGCCACTGACAAAACAATTTTTACAATGAAACCATTGTTTTACATGGGACGTGAAAAGGCATTTAATTGAGATGTTTGCTTTTAGGAGGTCTTAAGTTTTGATTTTGATTGAAAGATCTGGAATTTGTTGAAAAAGTCTTGAATTTGACAAATTGGTTATCTAAGGCACAGATGGAATAATTTGTCATTTGTATGTATTTTGAGATCATAATACGTTGTAGAAACAAATCAACAGATTTAGGAAAGAGTACTTTGAAGCATTTGAGTTACCTCCCTTCCTCTCTCTGGCAGCAGTAGAGGTACTATATGATTTCACTGTAGGCCACATACCAACCACTACCTCTTTGTTGGTACAACATGACAGCTGATGTAATTCCATCACATAAATAATGACAGCCAGCCCGACAGCCATCATCAAACCTTGGACCTTACAGAGAGTCCTGTGGGAACAGCATTACAGCACAGTTCAGTAGCCCTACACTGGTTTTGTAGAGGAGGAATCAAGTTTTATTAGACAACTTCTTTTTAGATCACCTGGCACATCCATAATTTTTTTACATTTATGCCTTGTCTAATGTCCTAATGGATTCAGTTTAATTGTTTGTGGGTACTATAAGTGGATTCATGTTTGTTGAAGGCATAAAATTGCAATTTCCATATGACTGTCTAGATGCCAGCATTATTTTTAAGAAAAACTTGCAAAAGTCACCATTTGTAGTTCAAACATGGCTGAATTCTAAATGGCTCTATCTCCTGTACATGCAAACCAAATGGGCCCTCACAGGGATGGAAATTTACAAGCCCAGTGGCTATATTTTGATTTTTGACCCTGCAAAAGATAACTAGTCCTTATTAAATAAGAAGACTTTTGAATTTGAGACTCAGAAGGTTTTTCCAAATGTGTAGCTTAGCAATTAGACAGGTGGAGTCGAGAGGACGATGTATAATTCACAGCATATGTGAAAAAACTCAATCCCTACAGACTAGTAGAATTATATTAGCCCAATGTAATTACGACTAGCCTCTGGTCCTAGGGGTGAGCCTTAATTTCTAACCCTGCCAAACTGTGCGTTTATATTTAGAGTGTCTGTGTGTATACACAAATATTTACATACCTGTACATAATATATACATCAGCTGTCCATTGATGGCTGAAGTTGAAACTGGCCCAACATCTATAGACTGGGACCTACATTTTAAAATGTAGCATCTGTGTAGTTAGGGCCCAGGAGATAAGTGCTGTTTATTGTAATGTTGAATTTTAACTTAGTGAAACTGCAATGGAAATAAAAGTAGATACAAATTGGAAAAGCAAGTCTTCACTTCTGAAAGACATATAGAAGTTGGCATGATGAACAAGTCAGATAGTTCTATGGATATACAACTTCCTTATTACAATATCTCCAATGAAATGTCACATTCATTGTAATAAAGAAGTTGTATAAACATAGAACTATCTGCCTTGTTTAAGTAAATCAAAACCCCCCACACACACACACACACACACTAGCTTGCCACCACATTTTATCCAAATTTTTAAACTTATCCTATCTCACACTTTACATATCTTCTTTTTCAATCCCATGTGAAAACGTGCTTGAACCGAGTTTCCAGCTTCTAAAACAAAAACATTTACCCGAACACACCCCAGCATCTCCATGGTTTTGGACCAACAAGTGGGGCAATTACTTGCTCCTGTAAATTGTAAGCTTGCTCAAGCTGACCTCGTGTGTATCTCTGCCAACTTTTTCTCTTATCACCACTATGTGTTGACGTGTTTTGTGAATATTAGAGAACTTTTTTGCCAAGTCTCTGTGAATAAACACTGCATACACCATGGGCCAAAACGACAGACAACATCCAGCATGCTCAGAATGCTGACACACCTTCTCTACATCGGATCCTAACTCCTTTTGCTTGTTTGACTCGCGTCGTACAGAGTGTCAATTCTATGCCAGATTCTGATTTCCACAACTACATCCAGCAATGTAGGAGATTATTGCTCTGTTCTACTGGCCGATCCTGTCTCTCTCCCTTGCGACCCGCCTTTGAGATCTCATGCTTGGAGTCCACACGTGTCGCTTTTGCAGTGCGAAGGACGATAGCTCTACTGTTCGTGCCCCGGCTACCACCCAGCACGGGCCTGATTGTCTCTCGCAAGATCATAGGCACGAGAAGATGCTGGATCGACGATCAGTTTCTTATGCAGGATAAACTCATGCAAAATCTGGACCTTCTCTCCCACCATTTTGGTTCCATGACAGCTCTCCGTCACCGTGGTGTTCTCCAACACTGTACCTAGGACGATCAGTTCAAAGCCAAACTTTACCATCAACCATGGTCTTCCTGCACCCTGTTCGCAGATGCAGTCCAGCAGGTTGCTCAAGCACGCAAGGCGTTTGCCAGCACTTTAGGGGCAAAGGTTATCATGGTTGCGGAATTACAATTGCTAATCTGCTCCTACAAAGTAGCAGACCAAGCCTCGTTTTTCACCCCCCTTCATGGGACTTCGTGGGTTTTGGTTCGAAGGTCCTTGCTATGGAATATTGTAGATCGTCAATCTTTTCGCCTTGGTTCGCTTGAATGTGTTTAAAAGCTTGATGAAGCTTCCAAACTTGGAGCACCCTATTTTCCGTGGGAGATAGTATTGTGTTTTGTTTGAAGAATCTATGCCTGTCCAGGATCAATCTGAAGTTGTCAGCCATTTCGCTTATGCATTCTATAAAAACATTTTGGCATGTATTCCCTAAGTTTCACTTTCTTCCAGATCCTGCTTGTCATAAGAGGCGACTAACGGGATCGGGTGGTCAGGCTCGCTGACTTGGTTGATGCATGTCATCGATCCCAATTGCATGGATCGATGCTAATGATTTCAATCACTGGATTGTCTGTTCCAGACTCAATTATTTACAGACCGCCGTCATAAAGCTGGAATATTGCTTAGTGTGGTGTTAAACAACAAACAAACAAACACTATCCTCCAACTTAAGCTTGTAGCAAATAGAAGGTCAAAGTTGCGTGTTGATGTTAGTCCAGTGTTTTGGCCAATTTGACAAGTAAATCAAAATGCAACAATGCTTGTCGTAAGAGATGACTAACTGGATCGGCTGGTCCGATTCGCTGACGTGGTTGATGCATGTCATCATATCCCAATGGCGCAGATCGATGCTCATGATGTCAATCACTGGATTGTCTGGTCCAGACTCAATTATTTACACACCGCCGTCATTTCTCTGGAATCATGCTGAGTGTGGCGTTCAACAACAAACAAAAAAACCAACTAACAAACACCGTCCTTTGACATGAAACTGGACTTGTACCTGTAAATTACCAGACTGATGAAGATGTATTTTTACACACATGTTTCTTCTTATGAAGATGTATTAATCATTTCTTACCCTGACATAACACATTGCAACGATCTTCTTCACTTTGATCATGAGAGACAGAACCCAAACAGGCACATTTCTCCCTCTGGGGTGCCCCTTAATCAGAAGTTACCTGGCCTTAATCCCTCACTTGCTTTCTAATTTGTTTGCAAAAAGGTGTAAAACATTAACAAGATGTGTGGCCTTTTGTTTTCAGAAATCGGAGATATTGCTGGTGTGGCTGAGGTGACAATCCGCCAGTCATACAAGCTTATGTACCCTAAAGCACATCAACTGTTCCCAGAAGATTTCAAGTTTGCAACACCCATAGAACAGCTGCCCATGCAGTGAGCTACAGCTGTTACTGCAGAGATGCAGACCCATAAATACTGAGTCATGTACAGGTATATGAACAGACATGGAAACACACACATGAATACTGAGTCATGTACAGGTATATGAACAGACATGGAAACACACACATGAATACTGAGTCATGTACAGGTATATGAACAGACATGGAAACACACACATGAATACTGAGTCATGTACAGGTATATGAACAGACATGGAAACACACACATGAACAGACACATAAATACTGAGTCATGTACAGGTACATGTATATGAACAGACACATGACACACAAACTGACACAGACACATGACACACAAACAGACACATGCCACTCAAACAGACACATGACACTCACACAGACACATGACACATAAATAGACATGTGAACATACTTAAGAACAGCCACAGGCAATTTAACAGACATTTAAACAGCTACAGACACATGCACAGACACACATTGGATACAAGCAGACAGTGGGTTTCACCAAAGTTTTAAGCGTCTGAGACCTGCATCACTTAAGGCTGACACGCTATGATATAACTGGAATACTGTTAAAAGCGGCTTTAAACCCAACTCACTCACTACAAAGGATGCAATGTCACAATGTCACAATGTCTACATGCAGTTCATATCACACCAGCCACAGAAACTTGTTTGGACAACAGAATAATGACCATGGGGTGGAGCAGCATTGTCCTGCTGCTGTATCATTTGTCCTCCATGTGGGAGGCTAGGGACTGAATGGAATCATGATGTAATATGCCTCAGTTGGAGGAGTTGCAGCTCACAATGGAACTGAATGTATTTCATGCGTTGATCAAGTACATCATTAAAACATATCCAGCTTCATCATCTACTGAATGTTTCTTCTGTGTGGTGTAAGGCCCATCAAGATATGGGGTATGGTATCCAAAATATTTTTACGGGCCATCAAACTGTGGACTTATGGCATCTGAATAGTCTAAGGGCCATCAATATATGAGGATATGGTATCTGAATGGTGTAAGGCCCATCAAGATATGGGGTATGGTATCTGAATGGTCTAAGGGCCATCAAGATATGGGGTATAGTATCTGAATGGTGTAAGGACTATCAAGATGTGGGATATGGTATCTGAATGGTCTAAGGCCCATCAAGATATGTGGGTATGGTAGCCTAGTGGTCTAAGGCCATAAAGCTGTGGGAGTATGGTATCTGAATGGTCTAAGGGTCATCAAGCTATGTAGATATGGTATCTGAATGGTCTAAGGGTCATCAAGCTGTGTAGATATGGTATCTGAATGGTCTAAGGTCCATCAAGCTGTCAAATTATGTTATCTGAATGGTCTAAGGGCCATAGATGTTGTAGCCAAGTGATCGAAGGGCCCTCAAGCTGTGGAGGTATTGTAGCCTAGTGGTCTGAGATCATTTATGCATGGAGAGGATGGAGGGCAATAATTCACCCCAATTATAAGCCTTGGTATGTCTGCACCACACCCATGCAAGTGGATTAGGATCCTCACACATTATTGGTCCTGGTTACAGTCTTCAGCAACCTGTGCTTGTCATAAGAGGTGACTAACATGATCAGCCTTGCTCCCTTGGTTTGATGTCATTGTATCCCAGTTGCTGGATCTATGCTCATAATGTCAGTCACTGGATTGTCTGGTCTAAAATTGATTATTTACAGACTGCCATCATATAGCTGGAATATTGCGGAGTGCATTGATAAAGTACCCAAGAAATCAACATTATGATGTGACTAAGACTTGATGTTTGGTGTATTTCCGTGGTATGCCCGCTGTGTTGCTGCTTTGTGGCCACACTGGTTTGATGAGCTGAAGTTTGCCACCTCTTTGTAATGTTGCAGGTTCAAAATCATTTTACTTTATTGATGTTACTTTGGTTTTAGTTTTACATGTGCATGATGTGTATGATGTAAGTCAGTCATTGGGGAAGATCTATCATGTCATCCCTATGTTGTATTCTATGTCCTATGTAGTCCCAATGCTGTGTCCTACAGCAACATGTCACATTGTGTTGTACAGCAACATGTCACATTGTGTTGTACTGCAACATGTCACATTGTGTTGTACTGCAACATGTCACATTGTGTTGTACTACAACATGTCACATTGTGTTTTACTGCAACATGTCACATTGTGTTGTACTGCAACATGTCACATTGTGTTGTACTGCAACATGTCACATTGTGTTGTACTGCAACATGTCACATTGTGTTTTACTGCAACATGTCACATTGTGTTGTACTGCAACATGCTACATTGTGTTGTACTGCAACATGCTATATTGTGTTGTGCTGCAACATGCTATATTGTGTTGTGCTGCAACATGCTACATTGTGTTGTACTGCAACATGCTATATTGTGTTGTACTGCAACATGCTAAATTGTGTTGTACTGCAACATGTCACATTGTGTTGTACTGCAACATGTCACATTGTGTTGTACTGCAACATGCTACATTGTGTTGTACTGCAACATGCTATATTGTGTTGTGCTGCAACATGCTATATTGTGTTGTGCTGCAACATGCTACATTGTGTTGTACTGCAACATGCTATATTGTGTTGTACTGCAACATGCTAAATTGTGTTGTACTGCGACATGTCACATTGTGTTGCACTGCGACATGCTACATTGTGTTGTACTGCAACATGCTATATTGTGTTGTGCTGCAACATGCTACATTGTGTTGTACTGCAACATGCTAAATTGTGTTGTACTGCAGTATGCTACATTGTTGTACTGCATCACACATTGTGTGGTAATTCAAAATATTACATTGTGTTGTTCTACAAGATACATTGTGTTGTATTGCAACATGCTACATTATGTTGTACTGCAGTATGTTACATTGTTGTACTGCAACATGTTACATTGTTGTACTGCATCACACATTGTGTGGTACTTTAAAATATTACATTGTGTTGTACTACAAGATACATTGTGTTGTACTGCAACTATCCTGCATGGTGGACATGTTTTGTGACCACATACTGCAAGGATGGTATTGTTGTACATGTACAGATATGCTTTCCCTTTGCTTTGCAAGTCATGTTGTATTGTATGTACTGTTTTCACAACATCCGGTTCACTTTTCAGACAGGATGTAATATCACAGCAAATGGAATACTGGTACTGTCCAGTCTGTGAGAATAGCTTAAGTTCTTATTTTATTCTTCTGTTCTACTAAGACATGCCAATTCAAAACATAGATATTTGAGTTGGTGAGTCACACAGCCTGGAAGAGGTCTATCAGTTTTAGGGTATCCTCCTCTTATTTGTTACCTACTTCTTTACCCACAAGCAAAACATACTGATTGTCCATGGAATGTTGGAAGGAAAGTTCACGTGATATGTCGTAAAACATGTATTATTCACGTACATGAACAAAGCAAAATATGAACCTTTCTAATTTTGTATGAATGTTTTTATTGATATGTTTGTTGTTGTTACTGTAAATAATTGAAATAAACTATTTACGCTCAACAGTCTTGTTACAATGTTTCGAACATGTAAAGCAATCTTGTGTGTTTTCAATGACACTTATACTCCAGCTACAAACTTCTGTAGTATATATTTTAAGAATTGAACGTGTTTGGATTGGTTCATTGAAGTGTGAACTATTTGAAAGGTCTAGTTAAACTTTCGTGTGAACCTGCGCTTTTGAATCGTTCTCGGAGGTTCACACCACACAGTTTAACCTACTCTTTTAAAACGTTCAATTCCTATAATTTCATACTTTGCAATACAATGATAGCTTACTTTGAAGTTCTCTGGTTTCGCCGAGGAACATTGCAACAATGTTGTTTTGTCGGTATTTGCCGGCTCTCGGTCACATCCTTTTCCCCACTTATACTCAGTTACGCAAAAGAAAAATAGTTCTTTGACTATCTACAACATTAGCTGAAAATATATCAACATCAATGTTATTTTATTCTCTGAACAAATGGACAAATCGTGTTTCTTATCTTCAAAAAGAACAGGAAAGTGAACATAAACATAAACAAGACCTCGATGCACAGAGGCGAGGTCAACCTTCAAGCGCGGATTTATATATGACGTCACATAAGTTTGAAAAGAGGTGCATTTCGAGTCGAACGGGGGCGTGAGGATGACATATTTACTACTGTTGAAAAAGAAGTTTAGGGAACAGTTATGGAAAACACACCGACGCCTGAACCCTCCCATGACACTAGCAAATTAGGAATATCACTGAAAATCACACCCCACTATATACATTTCGTATAGAAAAAAATCACACACACCTATATACATATATAGACGGGTGTGAATTATTTTTCTATACGAATATATTATGCAGAACACTCTATCATCGAGTTACTGTGATGACGGGGCACAGAAGTGAAGCTGGCATCATGTCATACAGTATATACATATATAGACAGCGGTGTGGTTTTTTTCTATACGAATATATTATGCTATGCCCGTCATTCTTCATGTGCCGCCGCTTCTCGACCTAAAATTCACGGAGTGGGTCGGCCGACCCAGAAACCGGAATAGAAATTCTGCCTACGGATATTTTCTCGTCTCCGATGACCAATCATTAAAACAGGTAAGCAAGCAGTTTTGGTTTTTTAACTTAAGTTTCTTTCCTTTCCTTTTCACGTTTTATGGGTTCTCAAAATCTTGGATTTTTTTCCGATACGATAGTGAATCGGGTTTCAGTTTGGGATTGATCAGGAGCAGTCGCTTTGATCTGTGTCGGCGGCCACACCCGGGCAGGGTACAACATTGTTGTCATTCGCAATTGTCTTGGTGCTAGATTCCTGTCATTTCCGAAACAAGGCATCAAAGTCAATATCGCTCAATAAATCAATTTCGTTTCATCTCCGTAATTTTACAGGATTCATTTTCTTCACTTGCGTTATGGTATTGAAAGATAGCCATTCTCTGTCCAAATCACCGCAAGGACAATCCATTAGCAGCTAGACATTAAACACCAGAACCAAAGTATTTATTTATTTTTAAGTCAGATGAAATGTTACAAGGCCAGGCAAAAATACTAAATTGATAATATTCCTGATAAATGCAGGGATTAAAACGAAAATAGAAAAAACGAGTTGATTCTAAACACCGATCGAGAATTCGGGGAAACCCCGGAAAGTAGTTCCGGCAAAAGTTCACACGATCAGTTTCACAAAAGAATCTTTACATCTTGTGAACTTTTCTGTCCGTTCACAGCAGTGTGGACTCCAAATATCAGATCACGTGACTACCCATTCAGCCAATCGGCAATAAAGAAAGTTTCAACTTTAAAGTATGAAATTACACCAAGTAACAATGAGTTATGTTTGAGACGAGCTTGTTTATTGTACATGTAATCCCATTCGATAAATATGGCGTCTGTGGAGGTCAGAGGTCAAAGTTGTGACATCAAACTGAGTATGGCCTGTCAACCAGCGAAACGTAAGCGACACGCAGTTACAGCAATCGAAAAAAGGGAAATTTGTCTGTTTAAAGAAAAACACCCGTCAGCAAGTTTGGAAACCATCAGTAAGCATTATGGCACTGAATTTGGACATACCATAGGAAAATCGACAATTGGTGACATTTTAAGAGATTGTATAGAGACCTTGATTACATATTACAAGAACACAGGCGATCTGGACAATTTGGAATTATTGTTCAAAATTCAAACATCAAAATGTGGTAAAGTTGAAACTTCCATGACAGATTTTTTTAAACGTGTATGTCTTGAATAAAGATTGAGTGGATGTATCTGTTTGCTCTGTCATCTGTCATGATGTTGCATAATTGAAGGGAAGTAACTCTTCCAGTAAAAACTGGTTTCAGTTATACGGAAATTCGTTTATACGGACGAATTGTGAAATGACGCAAGTGTCCGTATAAACGAGGCACGACTGTATAACAGTATATATTCCTGCAATAGTCTTGCTTTATGTCATGCTACGCAGTTGGGATACAGTGACATTCAGTAAACCCAGTCCCCAAGTCTGGCCATCCGATCCAAAAATGGGCTCACACATTGTATCCATGCGGGGGAATGGAACCCGGGTCTTCGGCTAACGTGCAAACGCCTTAACCATTTGGCTACCCCGCCTCCCCTCGGTGGTATTTTACCCGTGAAGATCCGGGGTAGAATAGGTCTTCAGCAACCCATGCTTGCCGTAAAAAGGTGACTATGCTTCACACCCGTGAAGATCTGAGTTTGGGTTCAGCAACTCATGCTTGTTGTAAGAGGCGACTAACGGGATCGGGTGGTCAGGCTAGCTGACTTGGTTGATGCATGTCATCGATCCCAATTGCGAGGACCGATGATCATGATATTAATCGCTGGATTGTCTGATCCAGAGTCGATTATTTACAGACCGCCGCCATAAAGCTTGAATATTGCTGAGTGCGGCGTTAACCAAGCAACCAACCAAGCAACCAAATAACTCTATGGTATTTATAACATAGATTAATTATAGTCATGACTAGTTCAAAACATTGGCAACAAAATACTGTCGCAAATAAGTTTTGGGGGGCGTTTACGTGTGGAAAATATACCCAGTTTTGGGCAAATATAAGATAAATTGAATGGCATTGATTTTGAAACAAACTGTACCATGCTCTCCTTCTAAACTGTCCAGCTGCATTGTGACCTTCGCCCAATTTCGCGGTCGGATTTCTTACATTGTTACAACGTCGGGTTACATTTCAGAAATTCTATTTAAGGGACGCTACTCTTAACCGACAGCCTTTTCCGTTTTGCGACTCTCTTCGAGCACACGACGCGCGGCAAGCACATGCTCGGACATCGGAGTACTGTTTTCTTTTAATATAAGTAGCGGAAAGTGGTTTTTTTAATTTGTTTATAACCCTATTTACAAACGATACCCGAGAAAAAGCAACCATTGTTCATTCAGAAATAGATATCTACCAACATGAGTAATTACTTTCTAGAAATTGAAAACATCACGTACGTTCACTAACTTCAGGGCCGAAGCCGAATAATATGTCCGGGGGTCGTCACACTGATGGCTTCCAAAATGTTCTAGCAGCCAAAGAAATTCGAGTTTGTAAGCATCATATAATTGTTCGCGATCGTGAGGGCAAGTGAGTGCAATGTGATGTGCGCCGCATCGCATCAGTTACTGCAGGTGTCTACATGGAGCCTTTGTATAGTCTCGATCCCTGGTGTTGGTGTCAGTCCAAGTTCTAACCAGTGTTAACCCTTGCAATATCCCAATTAAAGATATACTCTCTTTGGGTGCTAATGTTGACAAGCAATCTTTTGTTAAAAACCCTACAACCTTTGTAAAACAATATTATTAATGTTGATAATATAGAAGAAATTTTGTCCCAACCGTTATGGCTCAACCACAACTTCAAACATGCAACATACTACATAAAGCAATGGGCTAATATTGGAATTTACTCAATTAAAGATATATGAAATGAAAACGGATTGATGTCATTTGAAGAACTGAAACTAAAATATCCGATAAAAGGTACAATATTATACTATAGATATGTAATCTCCAATATACCAGAATCATTGAAAACAACAATCCAGAAAACTAGAAAAATAATTTTACAGAATAATTTGAATATAAACAGTTGCCTAAGTGATCTGATGAAGTCTGTTACAGGCGCTGGAAACTTTTATGATAAATTAATATCAAATGAAAATAATCTTAAAGTTTGTGATAAACGGCAATCAATTTTTCACTGTGATTTTAATTAGAAAGCGATATTTACTGTTTATAGATGTTAACTTAACGATGTAAAACTTTAAGATTTTCAGTACAGATTTCTACATGGAATTATCTATTATCTACACAAAGAATGAATCTTGTGGACAACAATGTTTGTAGCTTTTGTAATGCTGTCAATGAGGACGTCAGCCATGTCTTTTAGGAATGAAATGAAACTAAGCAATTTGTAAATGATCTTGAACTTTGGCTTAATAATTATCTTTCACAAACAATTAAATTGACAAAATATCTTATTTGGTTTGGGTCTAACTACTCTAATATTTTAATAAATGATATAGTTTTATTGGGAAAAAGGCATATTCATGTAAGTAGAATTAAAGGAACCAAACCGAATTTAGATATACTTTTAACACTATTTGAAAACATATATTAAATCGAGAAATTTATTGCGATGGAAAAGGATGACAAAAATAACTTAAACAAAATAAATTTGATTATTAGTTATCTGTTGATACATGCTATGCTTGTGTCTGATTGTGTGTTGCAGCCGTTTTGGTTTGAAATAGGACAATGTTTTTTTTCCAACCCTTTAATTTTTTAAAGAGTGTATTGTGCCATTCTATGCTATCCGAAATATGTTTTTGACGGAATACTGTATTAGTCTTCAACTCTGGGAACAATAAAAAAAGTTTGAAAAAAAACCCCAAAACCGAACAAATCATGTTATTTCAATGAGAAAATATTTAGGGGGGATAAGTCGGGTGAATGCTTAAATAAAAGAAATATAAACCGATCACCTCGGTAGAATGACACAACCGACGGCCATTTTGTAATGTTGTGTACTACATCTTAAGTTGCTTATAAATCGCCACGGAGTGAGGCAAATGGAAGCCAAGATTTAATCTCGGAGTGCTGGTAAAGCCGTTTTAGGGTTGAGGGGTTCTAAAACTTTCGTAGTCCCCCTGGTAACTCAGTTGCTATGTGACCTCAGGTTCGGCGCTTCACGGCCTCCAACATTTAGTTGTGGGCAAGTTAGTTTGGAGAAGGGCCAGTAACTTTTGAAAAGAGCAAGCCCTCTGCTGGCTACAAACAAATTTGTTGTTAAGTATACCCCTGATTTGGTATATAATTGAATATATTTCTGTGTTTTTATTTGGACAAAATGTCGGAGTCGTAAATAACTGCCGTGGGCCGTGATCACTTTAGTACTCCAACAGATAACTCATGTTATTAACGTCCAGTCTTCCTGGACCTGACTCATAGCTTGTATATTACTGACTATGAAAAAAAAAAATGCTTGCTTGCTCATTCGTGAAAAGAGAAACAACACAGTATGATTGTCATTAAAGTGATTTATTGAGCATGTCTTCCATCTCTTGGTAAAGGACCCATGTCTCTGTAACCCAAAAAACATGTATTAGATGCAGTGAAAATAGGTTTGACTTCAATTTGCAAATGTAGCACATATGATTAATCTGGTTATAAATGCATTTGAACAATCAAACTTTGCCTTACAATGCTATTGGACATTAATCTTAAAGTAACTACTAGCATGACCATTGACGGGATATAATTCCATTATTATGAGCCAAAAGAATAAGAAAGCTAACGGAAACCCTACTTCAACCAAGAACCTATCTATGTGTTGGGGTTTAGTGCAGCGTGACACATTCGTTATGCTCTTTGGCATAGGGTTGTGGGGATATTGAGGTTAACTTGTGACTAAACAGTAACGTGCGCGTCAATGAATGCGGACATCAGTGCATAGTATGACAGTAATCATACTGTGTGGTCGTGTTGTTGTAGAAGGATACTTTAGAAATCTATCAGAATATTTGACCAAAGACAAAATACAAAGCTAACTTGGTACCTGTAACTTCCGTATTTTCTCAATCATCTAAAATCGCCCGCAACGGACATAAAATGAGTTTTAACCTGAAGTTTATGTTGATTGCTAAACAATATTTACTTGCATTTAAACTACAAAATAAATAACTTCATCTTATCTAAATCTCTAGCTTTGCCTGATCTCAAAAGTAGACCGATCACAACTTTCTTGTGTAAGAGAAGCCCGATCACCTAGGCCTCGCATTTCGGTAAACCTTCCACCAACCCCTGGATCAATTCCCGTGGTTCTCGCGATCTTGATTTACACGCCCTCGATTTTACCGACTAATCAAACGTCGAGGTAAGGAAAAAGGAATAACGGTATGGGAGGTAACTCGTATTGCCTAGGAACCACCGCAACGTCCAGTTTTAAAGGACATCAAGACATCCTTTCCATCCAATCAAAAAGATTGTTCAGGGCTTTCTTTTTACGTATCAGTTAGTGTTACAATGTTGCATTTCTCTCAAACCCTATCCTAATCAATGAGACTGACCGCCATGTTGTTGATATCACCAACCCTACATTGAGACTGGTTTGTAACTCGCATTCTAATTGGTCCTCTAGACTGAGTAGCTTAGCAAATCAAGTTGGCTAATAAAAATATAGAGGGTGAGAACGGTACTAATGCTGTCTAATAAATGCCGTTATACACCTACCTAATATTGAATTTCGTCTGGGAAGAAACTGAAGTCAATCGTGAAACCTTCTCCATTTACGGATCCATCACTTGTGAAGACGAACTGGAAATGACCATCAGTACCTAGAACAAGATATATACCCATTAGAAACGGCGAATGGTGGAATCGGTGTTATAGAAAGAAGAATTGCAAACAGCATGCACTGGTAAGAAAAGAGAACAGTACACACGCGCGAATCACAGACCCTCCGTCAGAACACGTGGCAGTTGCCCTAACTTCTTCAGGTACTGCAGAGGGAAATAGTGTGTGGAGAGTATGTTGAGCCCAATCGTTAAACACATGCCACGTGTGCAAATAACGGAAAGTCTACTCATGTTTTTGTCTTCATGGGTAATATATGTCTGCTACTCACGGTACGTCTTGTCTTGGATGTTTGTTCCACACAGCTTGTCTCCTGCCATCTCAACAGCGTCGTATCGGCAGCTGCTGGCTGACTCAACGTCAAACAATGGGAAGGTGAAGACTAGGTCACCAGGAGTGGGGGTGTTGATGGTGTAGGTGCAGTACATGTTGCTCTCGTAAGCACCAGGCTGTGACTCAAAGGTTCCGGATGTGGCGTTAATAGTTGCATTGCAGTAGACTGAAACAGGTGCGATTTATCAAGAGATTCAGTGATAATTATAACTGAGTAAGAATTAGGCTTGATGATGGGCCGAAAGAGAAAAAAAATTCTTTTAATTTAAACTTGAGAAACTGAGAAAATAAAACAAATGTGAAATTATGCAAATGTAAAACTGAGATAATGGACACACGAAACTGAGATAATGGACACATGAAACTGAGATAATGGACATGTGAAACTGAGATAATGGACATGTGAAACTGAGATAACGGACACGTGAAACTGAGATAATGGACACATGAAACTGAGATAATGGACATGTGAAACTGAGATAATGGACATGTGAAACTGAGATAATGGACACATAAAACTGAGATATGGCACACGTGTAACAGATAACATACATGCATTTACGTACCAAGATCAGTGAAATAATTAAAAGAAAAGCCGCCACGCTGAACACTTCCGTCACTGGTAAATGTCATGTCAACTGTTGGCCCAGTGTCTACAAAACAGTAATACGTATAGGTAAAACAAGACAAAGTTAAAGATAATTATATAAAGCTTTTGAATGAACAATTAAAATAACACAAATACAGCACCTTAGTGAGGTTTTTGTTTGTGTTTATAACCATGATTCACAATGGTTCATTATAAAGCATACCAAGACTATCTTACAGCTGTTATTAAAAATTAATATCGGTGCTACCGTAGTCACCAAAACAGCACCTTAGCGAAGCTTTTGTTGGTGTTTATAACCATGGGAGTTTTGCGTTCTCGACTAATTAAAAAGTATATCAAGACTATCTCACATTGTCGGATAAAGGACTCCTTTGCTCCACACAACTTCTCGGTGGCGTCATCACTTGTTATTGTTAAACTGTCATAGTCGCAACCCGACTCGTCCTCGATGTCAAAACGGGTGAAGTTGACAGTGGTGATGTGAGGGGTGGGAGGAGACCGGAGAGTGATCTCACAGTGCTGGTTGTTATCGTAAGTGTCAAGGAAATTAGTGGCCAGGGTATAGGTGCCCTCAAGATCTTCACTGTCGAAGTTGCAGTCTGGAATTTCAGTACAGGTTGATATAAGCAGCCTATCACATGAAACATGTGTTATGAAAATAGAGGTTTGCATAGGAGACTAGAACGACTAAAAGAGATACACAAACCCTACCCTTCTATTTAATGCAAAACATTTTGGGTTCGGATTCCAGCTTCACTCTGATTATGTTCCTTGGTTTGTCAGCACAAAATCCGTGCTCCTGCGCTTCACTGAAAACGCCAAAGACCGTTTAACTAATTGACTAATGTTTTGTTTGTTTGTAACGCCGCACTCAGCAATATTCCAGCTATATGACGGTGGTCTGTAAATAATCGAGTCTGGGCCAGACAATCCAGTGATTGATATCATGAACATCGATCCACGCAATGTTGTTGGTTGGTTTGTTGTTTAACGCCGCACTCAGCACTATTCCAGCTATATGACGGCGGTCTGTAAATAATCGAGTCTGGACCAGACAATCCAGTGATTAATATCAAGAGCATCGATCCACGCAATTGGGATCGATGACATGCATCAACCAAGTCAGCGAGCCTGACCACCCGATCCCGTTAGTCGCCTTTTACGACAAGCATAGTCGCCTTTTACGGCAAGCATGCGTTGCTGAAGACTTATTCTACCCCGGAATCTTCACGGGTCCCACGCAATGTGGATCGATGACATACATCAACCAAGTCAGCGAGCCTGACCACCCGATCCCGTTAGTCACCTTTTACGACAAGCATAGTCGCCTTTTACGTCAAGTATGTGTTGCTGAAGACCTATTCTACCCCGGATCTTTACGGGTCAATTCAATTCACTAATATAAATATAAAACCCTCGAATTTATCGCTTATTATTGACATAAACAAAACATTATAAATGGAGGTCTATTAAAGGTTTATTGGTGGGGTTATTGCGATGCTGGCAATACATGAAATGTTATCATGTTTGGTGGAACGAATGTGACACCGGTAACACAGTACATTGGTTTTGTTTTGTTTCAGTTGTGCCTGATCTGTGAGTAAATAAAACTACATTCTTATTTGCTGAGATGAAACAATGATATATGTATGTATTACATTTGATACAACGTTTGCAGGATGGTACTTATTGCCAACCTTTTTGGCGTTCAGCAAAAGGAGATGAACCAAGGACTGGTCGGCTCGGAATCAGTACACCATGTCTGAGTGAGGTATCCATGTTAAAGTTCGGTATAGTGTTTCAGTGTCCTCATCCCCGGCCGCCTAGATATGTATGTTCGTGATACACAGAGGAATATATTGATACTTACCATCTACGAGACTGAAGAGAGCCACAAAGCCCTTCCCAGTAACACTGCCGTCACTCCTGAAGCGGATGGTAGCTATTTCATCGACTGACACTGGAAGAGACATGACATTTCTTCATAGCTGTCACACAAGGGCAGATTAGTAGTCCGAACTTCAACTACTTTGAATGTCAAGCTACAAGCGAGGAGCCGAGTGAAGGATATAATTAGATAGATCGGAATAGGTTGGTGGTACATATACAAAAGACATTACAATTATTATCTTATACTATTTGAGTCACACTGCCAGCTTCTCTTTACCTTGATTGATTTGTCAAGAGTGAAATATTAATATCAACTACACTTGTCCATGGGGACTTACCTTTCGTTTGGATTGGCAAATCACTTCCACAGTATTTATTATCACCACTTACCTCTCGTTGCGTTGGGCAAATCGCTTCCACAGTATTTATCATCCCCAACCTGGACGTAGTCGTAGCGGCAGTTGCTCGAAGACTCTGTGTCGAGGGCGATGAAGTTAATGTCCAGATGGAAGGGGGTATTACGAGTGAACACGTATGAGCAGTCCATGTTGTTGGGGTAGTTACTGCCGGTACCGGGGAGACTTTGGAGGACGCCCATAGAGACGTTGGTGTTGATGTATGTACAGTCGCTATCATTCAAGGACGGAACACCTCCTGAGTGGCAGAAATCGTGAAACAGTGCACACATCGATATCTGATCAGTAGATTCCGACATTGTCTTTGAAAATATCTCAAAACAATATAAAAAAATATCTCACCTTTGTAAATCCTATACTTGATCATATATTAGCTTTGGATCAGGAAGCCATTTTGTTATCGTTTGTTTTGTTTTCTATTTGGCAACTAAAACAACAGTGGATATTTTCGCTTCTGCTGGTGTGTATGTGTGTAGCCTGAAGATGTATTGGCGTCAATGTCACAGAATGATATTAACCATATTTGATGCCCCGCGAAAATGCAGCGTTTAGAACTTGTACGGATTTATTTTGCTTACTTGGTTGGATGGTGTATGTGGCGCTGTATCCTGCTCCTGTCTGACTGGAGTCAGAAGAAAATGTCACTGTGACGTTACCTCCTTCTGAAATGTCTGAAAAATCAACGTATTACTGCATTGAGCACAACTGAGATTGCAATGTAATGAGGTATTTTGAAACACCTTTCAAACTGCTTCTCATGTGTTCACCGCTCTTTTCACTTAATATATATTACTTCCTCATGTTAAAGATGTATAGGGTTCTATCAAGCGTCAAATCTACGCACGTCAAATCCATTTTTCGCACCGTTGACTTTATTATTCGTGTGTCGCAGGTAACTTACTCGCATTGTTGATGAAACAGATACAACTTTCTGAAAGTTTACTATTCTGATTTACAAATTCTATTGTTAGCACGTTTGTATTGACTTTCTTCGTACTTTTGAGATTGACAATTGTTAATCCGACTGATATGTAACTTGCATGCTGGACTAACGCTTTTCTAATTACACCGGGGAACCAGAAGTGAGATTTAAGATGTAACAAATGTGTGAGACTGACACTCCACTGTGCTGTTGTCCCATCTTGATCCACATCCCTTCTGGCTGTAGCCATCGCCCATATCAACCTCCAGGTAGTCGTATCTACAGGTGGATGAGTCCTCGAGGTCAAACGTTGTGAAGCTGAGGACCAAGGTGTATGGTACACTGGGGCCTGTGATGACAGTGACACACTGCACGTTGTTGGCGTAGCTGCCATTGCCGGGGCTTGTCAGGGTGCCAACATCTGATGTCAGGACTTGGGTGCAGGTATCTGTCGTGATGGGACGTTAGAAGGGAATTGTTATATGTGTAGAATATCAATTACAATGCATACACTTTATGTATGTACATTGACAACTTACTTTAAATTACATTACGGAAATACTCATCTGAATGGTCCGTAATTTCGACATCGGATTGGACGTAGGGTATACATTTCCCACATATTACACGTGCATACAGTTCTGAATTAATATATCTAATCCCTACAATGTTCCAGGTTCTAAACGATCATGTACACAATATACTATTCACTATTTTAAAGGATACCTAATTAGACAACTACAAATTGTACTCACTTTCCTCGGTGTTGAGGAGACTTGTAGCGTTCACGGTTGTATTCACTGTCCAACACACACAGGTTAATCACATATGAACAAAAGCGACAAGTACATTCGATTGAATAGTAACGTTTGATGAATATTTAGTAATATAGCAATACACAGGGTATTGTTGGATTCCATTTCTTGGGCATAACAGCTATTTCGAGGGGTAAGACCTACATTGATTTAAGAAAGCCAAGTTCACAGTGACATAAGTAAATTCGCCAGGATTGTTCTAACTATGACACACGTTGGAAATACTTCAATTGGTATCTTGCATACAATTACATAGTGCACTTAGAGTACCTGGTAGCATTGTCGCTTCTGTGAAATTAGTTGACATCGTTGCGTTAAAGATAACGTCCACTGGATATAGTGTTGTCTCAAAAGATTCAACCTCTCGAACTGCAAAGCGTGACAAACAGCATGTTAATATATGTAGTACAACATACGCATGATCTCGGTGTGTACGTATCTACTATCTACATACGAATCCTTGATATACGTTATTGTCAACACTACATTATTGTCTTGGCTATATCCATTCTGTGTTTGTTTGACACCATGATGCGAATCGAGCTCTATAATCATAACAAGTCTGCATCAATGATTCACCCTCCTCTGGTGGAGTGTGTCAGGTATTTACCTGGATTCATGGAATACGTGGCCTGGACACCCCGTCCTGTCACTGATCCATCGGAGTGGAAGCAAACATTGAAACGACCGTCGTGGAATTCAACTGGAGGTGCAAAAACACAACATCATATATAAGTTGGGACCATCACAAACATGTTGTATGCGCGACTTTGAAGCTATTAGTACGACATATCCCAGTAATCAGTCGCATACAAACACCACCTGGATACTCTCTCTCCCTATCAAACGCTTTGTAGTATTCAACGACTGCATCTAATGAACATGCCAACTAATTTCCATCCTGTTTTGTAAAACTTATAACCCTGTGGTGTGTCATACAAGAAGCAGTCACTTAGGTCCTTTCAGAAAGCTCTGTATTCAGAACAAAATTAGTCGTCAACTCACACTCTCTCTGGGTCCCCGCATCTACAGTGCCACACTCCCTCAGTTTTGTGTTAACGTCATCAAACTCAATATAGTCAAACACGCAGCCGGTGGCCTCCTCGATGTCAAACACGTTGAAGACGAAGGTGATAATGCCCGACCCGGTGAAGCTTGGTCTAAGAAGATAACAGACGTCCTGGTTGTTGCTGTAGTTGTTATCATCGTTGATACTGATGCTGCCATGGTTGCCGTAGTAGCTAGTATTGCCTGGTCAAGAAGCAACTGTAGTCATTTAACATTTCATTATACTTGTTATCATTTTGGAACTCCAACCCAGGACATTCTCAAATTAATCAACTAATTTTTTTATAAACACTGAATTAGACAATACCACATTGTAAGGAACAACTTGTTTAGAGAAGATATAATGAGCATATGATCTATGATCCAACAAACGATATGACTTAGAAACAGAATTGTTTCCTGCAAATTGTTTAACCCAGAACAAAGTTCATTTATGTTTACGTTCTTGCTCATCTGGCAAATCTTTTACCATAATCTCTTATTAATAACGATAATGAAAGACACTCCATTTTACTGCTAAATAACAAGAACACTTTATTTTTTCTCTTCTGTGAAATAGATCTCATTCAGAATGTATTTCAGGTTCTATTTGTTGGTGATGACTTACCCAACAAACCAGAGGGTTCCGCTGGAAGTGTGAGGATGAAAATCGGTCAACCACTCTTTATGTATCAGGGTGATTCACAAAATATAAATTTCACAATAATTACAATAATATAGAAAAGTGGTGTGTCCGTGAAGATAGAGTGAGTGAAATCGACCTTGTCTGATACCTTTTTTAAGGACTTTCATTTATTACATGTGTTTGTGAAGGATGGGGCAGGTACGCGCACCTTTTCGCGAACACTTGGTATCCTCACTATTTTAAAGTGATTCATAATCACATGTTCACGGTATAGACAGAATCATACAACTAATTCTGGTTTTAGCAAAAATGTCATGAATATATGGATAGGCCTTGTCAATATATTGTATTTACAGTAGAACCTATGTGTGCGTGTGTTAGTCATACCTGGGTATACAGAGTAGAAGCCTCTTACACCACGGCCGGTGACAGAGCTATCACTGCGGAAACACATTTCGAATTCAGCACCCGTCACATTGACTGGAACAAAACCAACGACATTACATCCATACAGAGTTGTCAATACTTCTTTTGTTGTAGGCTAACATAACCGTACATGTTGAAAGTGAAATGCAGATCTCAGAGATTACCCAGAAGCTCTAATAATACAAGCAGTGCTAAAGCGGAGTGTTCACACAAAGATAGATAGGTAGTCTCAATGAAACACTGATGAGGGACCAGCACAGAATCCAAGAATGCAGAATTGTTTTCATGTAAGGTGTAATTACAAATTATTTCTCATAAATTAAAATGAACCCATTGATTCTAGTTTCAAGACTGCGTGATTATTCATACATGTGCACTACACCATAGAAAAGAACATTACGTTTCCCTCACATGTGTTCCTGAAGTCAGTGATATTCCTTCCACACAGCGACGACTCAGTCTGATTATCCCAGGTAAATGTCAGTGCGTCATACACGCAGTTGGTGCTTAATTCCACATCCACTAGGTCCAGCTCCAGGCCCACCCGCCACCCCATGCCCTCAGGCAGGGGAGACTGGAAGTGCCAGCAACACTGCTCGTTGTTTTCATATTGATCTTCCCCATTTGTCGTGAAATATCCATAAGAGCTAGTGACTTCACCTCCGGTACATCCTGTAGTGCGAATATTACTAAGGTTGTGCAAACATGACCAATTAATCAACAGTTAATATTAAATAAGCGTCCTCGATACGTTATACACGTCACTGAGTGATCAAGGTGTGATTAGCGTTATAATGTATTCAGTTACACGTATGTCATTTTTTATCAATTATAAAATCGTAGTAAAGACTGTTGTTAAATGACTCACGGATGTATTCAAGCAATATAAATAATGAAATCAGGGCCCGAAACACCAGTGATTACGATCGGGATAAAAAGAAACGCAATCAACGGGCCTGACCACCCCAACGTTTGACTAGCCTCGTATGACAAGCACACGCTATGTGAGGACTATTCTAACCCGATATCACCAAGGGGAGTCAGTTATGTAGTGACGGCTTTGATAAGCTAGTTTTGCTTTATCATTACTTACCGGAAGTGTTCCTCATGGTTGGTTCTTGTGGATACTCAGGGTAGGCTGTGGTGTACTCAGGATAGTATGTGGCGTAGTCAGGGTAGGATGTGGTGTATTCAGGATAGTATGTGGTGTATTCAGAGTAGGATGTGACGTAGTAAGGATTGGATGTGGTGTATTCAGGGTAGGATGTGACGTAGTCAGGGTAGTATATGCCATAGTCAGGGTAGGATGTGACGTAGTAAGGATTGGATGTGGTGTATTCAGGGTAGGATGTGACGTAGTAAGCATTGGATGTAGTGTATTCAGGGTAGGATGTGACGTAGTCAGGGTAGTATATGCCATAGTCAGGGTAGGATGTGACGTAGTAAGGATTGGATGTGGTATATTCAGGGTAGTTTGTGGTGTAGTCTGGGTAGGACGTGGTGTGTGTGCTCACTGCAAGAAAATGCGTGCAACGTGTTACGCTATGCAAGTAAAGTATGGTTTTAATTAACATAAACAATTGAAACATAATGACGTGCCAACATTTATCAATGAATACAAAACATGTATACTGGACTAAACCGAGTTTAAGAACACCGATCGGGTACAATGGTCGAAATTATATAGATTCACCTCACTGAGGTCTCCAGCTTTATTTACATAATATCTAAAAGGACAGAGGATCAATTACTAGTTAGTTTACTACAGCAGACTATTCTTTCCACCTGTACCTATTCCGTAGGTTCCACTGACGCCTTCTTTGGTGACGGAGCCGTCGCTGCTAAAACACACTTGGAACTGACTTCCTGTGACCGTGACTGAAATATATAAAACCTGAAATAAGCACAGTGACAACGTTGTGAAGTTTAACAAAACATATAATGTAAGAGAGAGGAATAATCGATTCAACGAATCAGGTCATTTCAATTGTTCCCTTTATAACTAAAATGATTGGGAGATTGAATTCATGTTTTGGCGTTGTTTGCGACAAATTCAACATCTATTCATGAACATTCACAAAGCAACATATTCTTGAACAGTTCCTTTTGGGAGGAAGCATCAAGATGTCAGTTATCAAACATACCATATTGGTATGAAAAATATTACACAGTTTAATCATTTACATTTTCATGCTTAACACAGTGTGTGAGGAAATACTGTTACTGCTTCTCCATGCTTAACATTTCTATCATGTCTTCTATCATATCTGCACATATGGACATTATTTAACATAGCACTCACATGTCCTTGAGAAATTCGTCTTCTGTCCGCACTCCTTCACAGGCCCATCGTCCGTGTCGAATGTGAGGGCATCATATATACAACCAGAGCTACTTTCCACGTCAAACATATCAAACTGGAATGTGATTGTCCATGGCCCTTGAACGTCAGGCACGATGTCCCAGCAGCAGTTCTCGTTGTTGCCGTACTCGCCGCCAATGTTGGTGGAAATTGGGCCGAAGTTGTCATACCTTTGACCTCCATCACAACCTGTGGAAGGAACGTGTTTAACTTTACTGATCGACAACCAACCAATACATGCTGTGTTCATTTGGATCTCAAAGGCAGGCACAGCACTAATTCGAAATGACATATATCTTATTCATGGGATCAGTTTGGGCCCAAAATGTCCATACAGAATCCTTTTCAACTGAAAAGCAAAGTTGTTGTTTAGCAACTACGCAAATTCATCCATAATTCCACGACAATGAAATATATCTTTTCTTTTTATAGCCTGCCTCTTGACGTCGTATTTGTTATAATTAGCTTGCAAACGATTCTTTGGTACCTGGCTGACTAACCAAGCAATTTGTTTGCGTTTAAGTTTGAGGTCTTCTTTTTGCTGATTTTACGATTAGGGAGGCAAAGGTAATTTACGCATTCGTGATTTTTGCAAAGTGTGCCTTCTAGATTTTACGTTTATACCTCCATTAACAAATCATGGAAATAAATACCAGTACTTACCGGATGTTTGTCGCTTCTCACGCGATTGAGCATTCTGTTGCAAAATACAAACAACTATATTTTTGATCAAATAATCATTTCTATCAGCAATACTTCACTTGGGATAATACAGACATACCCTGTCTGAACAAACGGCTTGACCTCCACACTGATACTGTGTAACAAACATAATTATCAATGTACATATGCGCACCTCACGATTCAAATTCAATAGTTGAATTATACCTCTTTTTGATATGAACAAGAGTAGTCCTTTCATCAGTAAATGATATGCTCCATTATCAACATTTGCTCGAGATATGATGTTTATTTGACACATTTAATGCAACGGAAAACTGTCCAGGATGGCGATAGCATGGTTTTGTGTCTAAAAGCGGGAAAAGCACAATTTCTAATATATACCAGTACATGATTTAAAATGAACATTCCCCATATGTCTTCAAAACCGAAAGGGGCATGATATTTAACATACAAAAACATGTTTCAAAACTTTTCAGAAACCTCTAGCAAACGTAATAAATACAAGCTGTCAGTCATATATCAAGACATTCTTAAAATAGTTCCACTCTTTGAAAGTCTGCTGTTCTGATTGGTCCAACAGTTTTATCATATGCATCATACCCATTTATACATGTGGTAGAACAATTCGCGGACATATACTCACATTGAAAGCCCTGCCTTCAGTCTGAGCCAAAAGAAGGCTCACTACCAAAGTAAAGCAAATCATGCCTGGTACGTACATGTTGCATGTGTTGAATACTGCGAAATGTAGCTGCATTTATACATATTCACAGAACTAACACCTGTTAAATGCAACAAAAAATTATGTAATACAAAAATGTTTGTCAATAGAACATGACGAAACACTTAATCATAAAAGTAAACTTGCTTGAACATCTGCACCTAGTAGACGCTTCACCTGTTACCTTCAAGCTTAGATATTCACACTGATGGGCAGGTGACCTAAAGTATGGAATATGACTACCCGTCGTGTTTACTCAGCTATATCACTCACAGGCAGAACACACGATTGTAAGATTGGCATTTGTTATGAAAAACACGTATTTCACATCGTCGTAGACTGACGTAATCAAATCTGTAATAAAAATCCAAGTTGATGAAACCAACAGATGGTTTAATTCAAAGAAAAAATATAATATATATTTCGGTGTGCCGCTTTTTGCATTACTTTTCTGATGTAGCATCTAATGCGTTTCTGTAATCGATGTATGGGGTGTAAGTGGTGCATCAGAGCTAGAAATGTGCAGTATCAGCCATTATGTTACCAATGTTCCCCACATAACCAACAAAAGGCGATTTATAATCAAGAAGATCGTTGTGCATTTTTTTTCAAATTTCACATAGAAGTGCATTTTGATCAGGAGAGAGTGGGGTACATGACACACTGTTTGTAGTTAGGCAGTTTTGTTAGTATATTCTGGAGTTGACCTATGCATTAAATCCTTGGATCGTCTGTTCAAAAAGGCCTGAAGGTATCATATCTGCTTCTTAACTCGTAATATCATGCTTATAAGACTACACCCCTGGCTTTACCAACTTCCAGGAAAGGGAAGACAAAAGCCGACAACAGTCTGTGGTTAAGAAAAAATACTATCAGAAATGGCAGGTTGTCTTGTTGTGCAGAAGATTGAAAACACAGTATTGTACTGAATTGGATTGACATGAGTGAACCTTTGTGAAATAGTTCAAAGATGGATTTATGCAGTGTTGTTTTAGTGTTAGCTCATGAGCCTCCGCATATAGACTGTAAATAAGAAATGCTCTGAACGGTCAGACAAATAGGTTATATCTATTTTGGAGATAAAGTACTGTATTTTAAAATGTGCACTTTGAAAATAATTACTTACACATGGACAAATAGGCCAGCTATCTAAGAACGTTCCGAACAGGGTCCCGAGGGAGAGATAAACATAAAATGATATTACTCAAGTTCAAGATTAATTACTAAGTGTCTTGACTACTTCGAAATAAGGTTACATGTAACATAGTTTTTCAAAATAAATTGTTAAAGTACAAAGTGAACCTCCAAAGAAATATGTTTAATTCAATCACAGCTTGTTATTTGAACGTCTTAGACTCAATCAAGTCATCCTGGAAATAAAAATGACATCTTCCATTGCAGGGGGCACGGTTTAATAAACAATTATAAAGTAGTGACGAAAAACCCTCAACTGACGTACTTCCTCACATAGCTTATCATACGACAATCTTTCAGTTACTTTGAAGATGTACTGATGTACCAATTGATTAGAAATACTTCCCCAGTAACAGTAATACAATTTCACAACGACTATCTCTCCACCTCCAACTTCTACATGGGTACACGGGAACTACTTCCGTCACTCTTCACTGTCCATGGATGCCAAAATAGTCGTGCATGGTCACAGTGCTGTTTACAAATTGCATGAACTCAGAGGACAACCCCAAACTGTTCTTATGTTCACCATTAACGTGATTATTTACTGATTGAAATGGGCCTGTTGGCACAACCTCATTGCCAAAGGACCCCCCCTGAAATATATGTCTGAATACCGCCCTTTTCAGCTGAAGAAGAGTCGGCATTGTACGACACGAACGAGCCGTAATGCTCATTTTGTGATCGATGATTGTGTGAGCCCGACACAGTGGTAAGTGTGTGTTTTACTTAATTGTGTGTGTTCTGAAAAAGATTGCACCATATACTCAACAACAAAAGTTCCTGTGACACCAATATTTTAGTGTATTTTTCAAACAAGTGAAGTTTGGTTTTCAATATTGTAGTACATATATGGAATCAAGTCACAAAAACGCAACTGCTACAGAAAAGCATGCATTCCATGCAAAAGTTGACTTTTATGCAAGCCTCATGCATTTCACTACCAAAGAATGCGTATAAAACATGTGCGTTAACGGGATTCCATATGCATTGTTTAGCATCGTACTGACAACAACCACTCAGAAAAAACAACAAAATTACGCAAATATTCAACATTACGAAAAGCCACGCCTGTCCGAAATTGAGCGCCTGCGAGCCATTGGTATGCTTGAAGCAGGATCGAGTCAACGTGATATTGCAAGACAATTTAACGTCCACAGAAATACCATTTGGTGTTTATGGCAACGTTGGCAACAGACGAATGCAGTCAGAGACCATCCTCGGAGTGGCAGGCCACGCGTAACCAATAATCGACAAGATAACTGGATTCGAACAACACACCTACGAAATCGATTCCAGCTGGCAACAGTGACTGCAAGAAGCATATCTTCACAAACCGTACGTCGTCGCCTCAGATGTGCAGGTATTGTCGCCAGAAGACCCGCCGGTGTCCCATTTTGACAGGAAACCACCGTCAAGCACGTCTACAGTGGTGCAGACAGCGTCTACGCTGGGCGGCCATGCAGTGGGGACAAGTTCTATTCACTGACGAGTCTCGTTTTCACCTCAGCCACAGCGCTGGACGGATTCGAGTGTACCGACGTCGAGGTGAACGTTACGTTAATCATTGTGTCAAGGAAGAAGATCGGTTCGGGGGCGGCAGCGTTATGGTATGGGGTGGGATTATAGCAAGACAGAGGACTCGTTTAATAGTGGTAGAGGGAAATCTCAATGGACAGCGCCACCGCGACGAGATCATCGGCCCTGTTGTTCTACCGTTTTTTGCGTCGTCATGGCCCAAGCATTACCTTTCAACATGCCAACGCCCGGCCTCATATTGCTCGACTTGTGCAGGAATCTCTTCAACAAAACAACGTGAATGTCATCCCCTGGCCGGCTCGCTCCTCTGATCTCTCACCAATCGAGCACATGTTGGATGAGATGGATCGGCGCCTTCGACGTCAACCACGTGTTCCACAGACACTCAAGGAACTTCGAAACATGCTCCAGCAGATATGCACACATATCCCACAGGACTTGTGCGACGCCTGGTCCATTCCATGAGACGAAGATGTGTTGCTTGCATCGCAACCAGAGGTGGACACACACGCTATTGATTTGTAAATTGACATTTTGGCATGTTCATGTTTTTTTATGAAATAACGCATTTTCTGAACTCAGTATGGCAAATTAAACCATTTGAACACTTACAGGAGTCTTTTATCTGTTGCAAACCGAAATTGTTTCAGATTTGGTAAAAAACATAATTTGGCATTAAATCTTATTCAATGTAACAGGAACTTTTGTTGTTCATAAGCTGTTAATTTGATATCTAATGTGTACAATTTCAATGGGCTATCGGCATCTTTTGTTATATGCATCGATGCGAAGGCTATCGAAAGATCATTTTTTTTCTTATGCAAGGTTTTTGTGTGAAGAAGTATATTAATTTTAAGTTATCGAAAAGAATTCGATATGTGATTTTAATCATATTTTGACCAGTCAGAATCAAGCTTTCTTCGATGTCATGGTAGGTGGATGGTGAGTTACCTTAACAAGCTCTGTCATAGACAAGGCCACCATATATATCTATATATGTCTAAAATGCTGCTGACCGCTTCCGTGGTCTAGTTGCAGAGCATCCGCCCGGAGAGCGGAAGGTCCGGGGTTCGATCCTTTGCCGCGTCATATCAAAAGATCTGACGCTCGGCATTAAGGGTTAAAACATGGACTGAACAAGTCTCGCGGTAGCCATGCAGCATAATAAATAATAAATAATGTTTCAAAACCAATAATAAATAGATTGTTATTCTTCCCTTTGGTTTAAAAGGAATTGGAATTAACAAAAACTAAACTGAGATAAGTCTGTTAATACAAAGGTTAAAATGATAAGTATGTTATCATGTGTATTTGTTAAAATTCTCTCACATTTGTTTTCTGAAACATGTATTTTTTCTCTAATTGCTAGAGACTACACCATATATTTTGTTTATTTTCAAATAATTTACAGATAACTTTTATCATAATAATTCGACATGTTCATGAAAGACAAAAAAATATATCGTTAAAAGATGTTCCCTTTCATCATGTTCATCAGGCTGAGTCCCTCCATGCATCTGCACAGTGACTTCTGAAGATTCAGGGTCACAGGCCTGCTTAAATGGGGATCCATTTGGTTTAAGGACATCAACAAAGTCCACATAAGACACCTGAAATGTGCTTCAACGGACACAGAGACATCTTCCTCTATTAATTCTTACCAATAAGATGGAGAGGTTTTCTAGGATTTTAAGATCATCAACTTGAAACGATTTTGTTTTTGACATTTAAAGTTTTAATCCTTCCTTACTACGACACTTCCAACGACTATCTGTCCCCTAAAATTGCTACAAATATTAGTATTGCTTCCCCATTTTAACAGCTTCGAAAAGGCGTACTGAAGTCGTTGGAAGTTGACAGTACCCGGCGGAAGTTCTTCCTCCCCAATGAAGAGTTCCAACTGAAGACGGATAACCCAAATTGAACTCGACTTTTTGGAATGTCGAATAGTTGTAAGAGGATTGTCTGATCCCCTCCCAGCAATTTGCTACTACTTTTAACAAGATAACTTTCATCCACAGGATCAACACGTCGCAAAGACATTTTGCAGCATACCTACACGTGCAAGTAGCTATCCTGTCATAAAGCGCACATGTAATTTGCATGTTGTACCTTGGGAATCAGAAATCAGAAAATGACAAAAGTATAACACAAACATATTATGAATACAGAACTATTAATTTTGTAATAGCAGTTTTCACAACAATGATTTCCTGAAACATTTGTTGTTGTTTTCAAGGAACATGGGGTATTAAGTGGTATGCATGATACTG